AGACTCATAGACGACTCTCACAGAGACCCCCATAGACGACTCGCACAGAGACCCATAGACGACTCTCATAGAGACCCATAGATGACTCGCACAGAGACCCATAAACGACTCGCACAGAGACCCATAGACGACTCTCATAGAGACCCCCATAGACGACTCACACAGAGACCCATAGACGACTCACACAGAGACCCATAGACGACTCTCATAGAGACCCCATAGACGACTCTCACAGAGACCCATAGACGACTCACACAGAGACCCCATAGACTCTCACAGAGACCCATAGACGACTCACACAGAGACCCATAGACGACTCACACAGAGACCCATAGACGACTCACACAGAGACCCATAGACGACTCTCATAGAGACCCCCATAGACGACTCACACAGAGACCCATAGAAGACTCGCACAGAGACCCATAGACGACACTCACAGAGACCCATAGACGACACTCACAGAGACCCATAGACGACTCACAGAGACCCATAGACTACTCTCACAGAGACCCATAGACAACTCTCACAGAGACCCATAGACGACTCACACAGAGACCCATAGACGACTCGCACAGAGACCCATAGACTACTCACACAGAGACCCATAGACGACTCACACGGAGACCCATAGACGACTCACACAGAGACCCATAGACGACTCACACAGAGACCCATAGACTACTCACACAGAGACCCACAGAGACCCACATAGATGACTCGCACAGAGACCCATAGACGACTCACAGAGACCCATAGACGACTCACACAGAGACCCATAGACGACTCACACAGAGACCCATAGACGACTCACACAGAGACCCATAGACGACTCACACAGAGACCCATAGACGACTCTCACAGAGACCCATAGACGACTCACACAGAGATCCATAGACGACTCTCATAGAGACCCATAGACGACTCTCACAGAGACCCATAGACGACTCACACAGAGATCCATAGACGACTCTCATAGAGACCCATAGACTACTCACACAGAGACCCATAGACGACTCGCACAGAGACCCATAGACGACTCGCACAGAGACCCATAGACGACTCGCACAGAGACCCATAGTCGACTCGCACAGAGACCCATAGACGACTCACAGAGACCCCCATAGACGACTCTCACAGAGACCCATAGACGACTCGCACAGAGACCCATAGACGACTCACACAGAGACCCATAGACGACTCACACAGAGACCCATAGACGACTCACACAGAGACCCATAGACGACTCACACAGAGACCCATAGACTACTCACACAGAGACCCACAGAGACCCACATAGACGACTCACAGAGACCCATAGACGACTCACACAGAGACCCATAGACGACTCACACAGAGACCCATAGACGACTCACACAGAGACCCATAGACGACTCACACAGAGACCCATAGACGACTCTCACAGAGACCCATAGACGACTCACACAGAGATCCATAGACGACTCTCATAGAGACCCATAGACGACTCTCACAGAGACCCATAGACGACTCACACAGAGATCCATAGACGACTCTCATAGAGACCCATAGACTACTCACACAGAGACCCATAGACGACTCGCACAGAGACCCATAGACGACTCGCACAGAGACCCATAGACGACTCGCACAGAGACCCATAGTCGACTCGCACAGAGACCCATAGACGACTCACAGAGACCCCCATAGACGACTCTCACAGAGACCCATAGACGACTCGCACAGAGACCCATAGACGACTCGCACAGAGACCCATAGACGACTCACACAGAGACCCATAGACGACTCTCACAGAGACCCATAGACGACTCTCACAGAGACCCATAGACGACTCTCACAGAGACCCATAGACGACTCACACAGAGACCCATAGACGACTCTCACAGAGACCCATAGACGACTCTCACAGAGATCCATAGACGACTCACAGAGACCCCATAGACGACTCTCACAGAGACCCATAGACGACTCGCACAGAGACCCATAGACGACTCACACAGAGACCCATAGACGTCTCACACAGAGACCCATAGACGACTCGCACAGAAACCCATAGACACCTCGCATAGAGACCCCCATAGACGACTCACACAGAGACCCATAGACGACTCTCACAGAGACCCATAGACTACTCACACAGATACCCATAGACAACTCTCACAGAGACCCATAAACAACTCTCACAGAGACCCATAGACTCACACAGAGACCCATAGACTCACACAGAGACCCATAGACTCACACAGAGACCCATAGGCGACTCACACAGAGACCCATAGACGACTCACACAGAGACCCATAGACGACTCACACAGAGACCCATAGACGACTCACACAGAGACCCATAGATGACTCACACAGAGACCCATAGACGACTCACACAGAGACCCATAGACGACTCACACAGAGACTCAGACGACTCTCACAGAGACCCCCATAGACGACTCGCACAGAGACCCATAGACGACTCTCATAGAGACCCATAGATGACTCGCACAGAGACCCATAAACGACTCGCACAGAGACCCATAGACGACTCTCATAGAGACCCCCATAGACGACTCACACAGAGACCCATAGACGACTCACACAGAGACCCATAGACGACTCTCATAGAGACCCCATAGACGACTCTCACAGAGACCCATAGACGACTCACACAGAGACCCCATAGACTCTCACAGAGACCCATAGACGACTCACACAGAGACCCATAGACGACTCACACAGAGACCCATAGACGACTCACACAGAGACCCATAGACGACTCTCATAGAGACCCCCATAGACGACTCACACAGAGACCCATAGAAGACTCGCACAGAGACCCATAGACGACACTCACAGAGACCCATAGACGACACTCACAGAGACCTATAGACTACTCTCACAGAGACCCATAGACAACTCTCACAGAGACCCATAGACGACTCACACAGAGACCCATAGACGACTCGCACAGAGACCCATAGACTACTCACACAGAGACCCATAGACGACTCACACGGAGACCCATAGACGACTCACACAGAGACCCATAGACTACTCACACAGAGACCCACAGAGACCCACATAGATGACTCGCACAGAGACCCATAGACGACTCACAGAGACCCATAGACGACTCACACAGAGACCCATAGACGACTCACACAGAGACCCATAGACGACTCACACAGAGACCCATAGACGACTCACACAGAGACCCATAGACGACTCTCACAGAGACCCATAGACGACTCACACAGAGATCCATAGACGACTCTCATAGAGACCCATAGACGACTCTCACAGAGACCCATAGACGACTCACACAGAGATCCATAGACGACTCTCATAGAGACCCATAGACTACTCACACAGAGACCCATAGACGACTCGCACAGAGACCCATAGACGACTCGCACAGAGACCCATAGACGACTTGCACAGAGACCCATAGTCGACTCGCACAGAGACCCATAGACGACTCACAGAGACCCCCATAGACGACTCTCACAGAGACCCATAGACGACTCGCACAGAGACCCATAGACGACTCACACAGAGACCCATAGACGACTCACACAGAGACCCATAGACGACTCACACAGAGACCCATAGACGACTCACACAGAGACCCATAGACTACTCACACAGACCCACAGAGACCCACATAGACGACTCACAGAGACCCATAGACGACTCACACAGAGACCCATAGACGACTCACACAGAGACCCATAGACGACTCACACAGAGACCCATAGACGACTCACACAGAGACCCATAGACGACTCTCACAGAGACCCATAGACGACTCACACAGAGATCCATAGACGACTCTCATAGAGACCCATAGACGACACTCACAGAGACCCATAGACGACTCACACAGAGACCCATAGACGACTCACACAGAGACCCATAGACTACTCACACAGACCCACAGAGACCCACATAGACGACTCACAGAGACCCATAGACGACTCACACAGAGACCCATAGACGACTCACACAGAGACCCATAGACGACTCACACAGAGACCCATAGACGACTCACACAGAGACCCATAGACGACTCTCACAGAGACCCATAGACGACTCACACAGAGATCCATAGACGACTCTCATAGAGACCCATAGACGACACTCACAGAGACCCATAGACGACTCACACAGAGATCCATAGACGACTCTCATAGAGACCCATAGACTACTCACACAGACCCATAGACGACTCGCACAGAGACCCATAGACGACTCGCACAGAGACCCATAGACGACTCGCACAGAGACCCATAGTCGACTCGCACAGAGACCCATAGACGACTCACAGAGACCCCCATAGACGACTCTCACAGAGACCCATAGACGACTCGCACAGAGACCCATAGACGACTCGCACAGAGACCCATAGACGACTCACACAGAGACCCATAGACGACTCTCACAGAGACCCATAGACGACTCTCACAGAGACCCATAGACGACTCTCACAGAGACCCATAGACGACTCACACAGAGACCCATAGACGACTCTCACAGAGACCCATAGACGACTCTCACAGAGATCCATAGACGACTCACAGAGACCCCATAGACGACTCTCACAGAGACCCATAGACGACTCGCACAGAGACCCATAGACGACTCACACAGAGACCCATAGACGACTCACACAGAGACCCATAGACGACTCACACAGAGACCCATAGACGACTCTCACAGAGACCCATAGACGACTCTCACAGAGACCCATAGACGACTCACAGAGACCCCATAGACGACTCTCACAGAGACCCATAGACGACTCGCACAGAGACCCATAGACGACTCACACAGAGACCCATAGACGACTCACACAGAGACCCATAGACGACTCACACAGAGACCCATAGACGACTCGCACAGAGACCCATAGTCGACTCGCACAGAGACCCCCATAGACTCTAGCATGAGCCGGTTGAGGGGAGTTCATTCCTCCGCCCCTCCCCTTCCCTATTGGTTTATCATTAAAGATAAACAGGAGCAACCACGTGGTCCCGTGGACGCCAGTTTGCTCCGAGGTCAAGCAAACAGCTGGGTGTCGAGAGGGTTCACAATGGCCGTGCCGGAGATGCGGAGCCGGCAACCCACCCACTCAGAAAGCCCGGGTTCGTATCCGCACAGTCACAGCAGTTAGCCCGGGGCTTCTCATAGACTCACATGGAGGGCCGTAGACTCACTTAGAGACCCACTTATTCATATGTAGACCCGTAGACTCGCACGGAGACCCGTAGACTCGCACAAAGAGCCATAGGCTCATAGTGACCCACAGACTCGCACAGAGACCCACAGACTCGCACAGAGACCCACAGACTCGCACAGAGACCCATAGACTCTTCACAGAGACCCACAGACTCGCGCAGAGACCCGCAGACTCGCACAGAGACCCACAGACTCGCACAGAGATCCACAGACTCGCGCAGAGACCCGCAGACTCACACAGAGATCCACAGACTCGCGCAGAGACCCGCAGACTCACACAGATCCACAGACTCGCGCAGAGATCCACAGACTCGCACAGAGATCCACAGACTCGCACAGAGACCCACAGACTCGCACAGAGACAAACAGACTCGCACAGAGACAAACAGACTCGCACAGAGACCCGCAGACTCGCACCAGAGACCCGCAGACTCGCACAGAGACCCACAGACTCGCACAAAGACCCACAGACTCTAGAATGAGCCGGTTGAGGGGAGTCCATTCCTCACACACTCCCCCTCCTCCCCCCCCATTGGTTTATCATTAAAGATAAACAGGAGCAACCACGTGGTCCCGTGGAAGCCAGTTTGCTCAGAGGTCAAGCACACAGCTGGGTGTCAAGAGGGTTCACAATGGCCGTGCCGGAGACGCGGAGCCGGCAACCCACCCGCTCAGAAATCCCTGGTTCAAATCCGGGTGTTCAGCCGCACAGACACGGCAGTTACACCGGGGCTTCTCTTAGACTCGCGCAGAGAGCCAAAGACTCACATAGAGACCCACATAAAGAGCCACAGGCTTAAACAAAGACCCATAGACTCCTACAGAGACCCGTAGTCTCACACAGAGACCCGTAGTCTCACACAGAGACCCGTAGTCTCACACAGAGACCCGTAGTCTAACACGGAGACCCGTAGGCTCACACAGAGACCCACATATTCATATGTAGACCAATAGACTCGCATAGAGACAGACTAACACAGAGACCCGTCGTCTCACACAGAGACCCGTAGTCTAACACAGAGACCCGTAGTCTCACACAGAGACCCGTAGTCTCACACAGAGACCCGTAGTCTAACACGGAGACCCGTAGTCTCACACGGAGACCCGTCGTCTAACACGGAGACCCGTAGTCTCAAACAGAGACCCACATATTCATATGTAGACCAATAGACTCACATAGAGACAGATTAACACAGAGACCCGTAGTCTAACACGGAGACCCGTAGTCTAACACGGAGACCCGTAGTCTAACACAGAGACCCGTAGCCTCACACAGAGACCCGTAGTCTCACACAGAGACCCGTAGTCTCACACAGAGACCCGTAGACTCACACAGAGACCCGTAGTCTCACACAGAGACCCGTAGTCTAACACAGAGACCCGTAGCCTCACACAGAGACCCGTAGTATCATACAGAGACCCGTAGACTAACACAGACCCGTAGACTCACACAGAGATCCGTAGACTCACACAGAGACCCGTAGACTCACACAGAGACCCGTAGTCTCACACAGAGACCCGTAGACTCGCACAGAGACCCGTAGGCTAACACAGAGACCCGTAGACTCACACAGAAACCCACAGGCTTATACAGAGAATCATAGACATACATAGACAAACACACCCACATATACTTACACGGAGATTCAACCACATTTACCATTGCTTATATCGACTGAATTCATTCAGTTTTAGATATTTACGTGCGTTTATTAGCGCTATAACTTACATAGCCCTAACACTTACATAGCCCTAACACTTACATAGCCCTAACACTTACACAGCCCTAACACTTGCATTGCACTAACACTTACATAATCCTAACACTTACATAATCTTAACACTTACACAGCCATAACACTTACACAGCCAAAACACTTACACAGCCCTAACACTTACACAGCCCTAACACTTACATAATCTTAACACTTACACAGCCCTAACACTTACACAGCCCTAACACTTACACAGCCCTAACACTTACATAGCTCTAACACTTACACAGCCCTAACACTTACACAGCCCTAACACTTACACAGCCCTAACACTTACTTAACACTTACATAATCTTAACACTTACATAGCCCTAACACTTACACAGGCCTAACACTCACACAGGCCTAACACTTACACAGCCCTAACACTTACACAGGCCTAACACTTACACAGCCCTAACACTTACACAGCCCTAACACTTACACAGCCCTAACACTTGCATTGCACTAACACTTACATAATCCTAACACTTACATAATCTTAACACTTACACAGCCCTAACACTTACACAGCCCTAACACTTACACAGCCCTAACACTTACACAGCCCTAACACTTACTTAACACTTACATAATCTTAACACTTACACAGCCCTAACACTTACACAGGCCTAACACTTACACAGGCCTAACACTTACACAGGCCTAACACTTACACAGGCCTAACACTTACACAGCCCTAACACTTACACAGCCCTAACACTTACACAGCCCTAACACTTACACAGCCCTAACACTTATACAGCCCTAACACTTACATAGCCCTAACACTTACACAGCCCTAACACTTACTTAACACTTACATAATCTTAACACTTACACAGCCCTAACACTTACACAGGCCTAACACTCACACGGGCCTAACACTTACACAGGCCTAACACTTACACAGCCCTAACACTTACACAGGCCTAACACTTACACAGCCCTAACACTTACACAGCCCTAACACTTACACAGCCCTAACACTTGCATTGCACTAACACTTACATAATCCTAACACTTACATAATCTTAACACTTACACAGCCCTAACACTTACACAGCCCTAACACTTACACAGCCCTAACACTTACACAGCCCTAACACTTACTTAACACTTACATAATCTTAACACTTACACAGCCCTAACACTTACACAGGCCTAACACTTACACAGGCCTAACACTTACACAGGCCTAACACTTACACAGCCCTAACACTTACACAGCCCTAACACTTACACAGCCCTAACACTTACACAGCCCTAACACTTACACAGCCCTAACACTTATACAGCCCTAACACTTACATAGCCCTAACACTTACATAGCTCTAACACTTACATAATCTTAACACTTACATAATCCTATCACTTACATAATCCTAACACTTACATAATCTTAACACTTACACAGCCATAACTATAACCCCAACTCTAACCCACGTGATAACTTTAACCCCAACTCTAACCCACGTGATAATTATAGCCCCAACTCTTACCCCAACTCTAACCCACGTGATAACTATAGCCCTAACTCTAACCCCAACTCTAACCCACGTGATAACTATAGCCCTAACTCTTACCCCAACTCTAACCCACGTGATAATTATAGCCCCAACTCTTACCCCAACTCTAACCCACGTGATAACTATAGCCCTAACTCTAACCCCAACTCTAACCCACGTGATAATTATAGCCCCAACTCTTACCCCAACTCTAACCCACGTGATAACTATAGCCCTAACTCTAACCCCAACTCTAACCCACGTGATAACTATAGCCCTAACTCTAACCCCAACTCTAACCCTCGTGATAACTATAGCCCCAACTCTAACCCACGTGATAACTATAGCCCCAACTCTAACCCACGTGATAACTATAGCCCCAACTCTAACCCACGTGATAACTTTAACCCCAACTCTAACCCACGTGATAACTTTAACCCCAACTCTAACCCACGTGATAACTATAGCCCCAACTCTAACCCACGTGATAAATATAGCCCCAACTCTAACCCACGTGATAACTATAGCCCCAACTCTAACCCACGTGATAACTATAGCCCCAACTCGAACCCCAACTCTAACCCACGTGATGACTATAGCCCCAACTCTAACCCACGTGATAACTATAGCCCCAACTCTAACCCCAACTCTAACCCTGGACGTGTAGCCCGTACTTCCCCACCTCCCCTTGGATTCGGAGTATTTGTAGATGACAGCCAATCTGGGCGTGTGGCAAGGGTGGTCGCCCTCCCTCGCCCCTCCTTCTCCCTCGCTCGCTCTCTCTCTCTCTTCGCTCTCAGCACTCCCTCGTTTCCCAGCTCACTCCTCCGCGCTCTCTCCTCCGCTCTCTCCCGGCGGCCGGCTGAGTGATCCGGCTGAGTGAGCGAGAGCGGCCGTGACGCTTCCAGGCCACGCGCGTTCGTCCGTGTGGAGTAGCTACAGGTGAGCCTGTGTGTCTGTGGGGTAGGGGGCCATCCATTCAGTACGTACGCATGGAGTGTGGAGGGGGGTGGTTGACCCCAACGCGTACGCTTGCGTATGGGGGGGGGGGGTCTCACTGACAATGTACGCGTAGGAAACGGGGCGGGGAGGGGGTGAAGCCTCGATAATAATTCGTCTACATTGGCCTTCAAATGAGCCACAGTTCAGTGTCTTCAGCTGTGAGACAACGAAGTACTAGCGTGAGAAGTGGGACTGTGGGAGAGGCGTCACTCTTTGTGTACCACCGTGCCCCTGACTGCGAGCGATCACGCTGCTGTGCTTCTGCCTGACATTGCACCTGTTGACGAAATCCCTATAATACGTAACCTGTTCGACTGGGTTCAGCCGGCCTTCAAACCTAGCGGACATTAGACACACTTTTTAAAGGTACGCAACTTAATTATTTAATGCAGCCGGCGGTGGACTATCTGTTTGCTTAAACACGTTAATATGATTAATCCTTGATCGTTTCTGCGTGGATTAAATATCGGCCGTTCTTTAGGATTTGGCAGGGGGGGGGGGTTGTTAAAAGTACGCGTGGCTACAGGGAGGGGTCACATTTTGACGGATTTTTACGTGCCTACTAAATGGATGGCCCTTTAGATGTGGGTGTGGTGTGTGTGGTGTAGATGGGGGTGTGGTGTGTGTGGTGTAGATGGGGGTGTGGTGTGTGTGGTGTAGATGGGGGTGTGGTGTAGATGGGGGTGTGGTGTGTGTGGTGTAGATGGGGGTGTGGTGTGTGTGGTGTAGATGGGGGTGTGGTGTGTGTGGTGTAGATGGGGGTGTGGTGTAGATGGGGGTGTGGTGTGTGTGGTGTAGATGGGGGTGTGGTGTGTGTGGTGTAGATAGGGGTGTGGTGTGTGTGGTGTAGATGGGGGTGTGGTGTGTGTGGTGTAGATGGGGGTGTGGTGTGTGTGGTGTAGATGGGGGTGTGGTGTGTGTGGTGTAGATGGGGGTGTGGTGTAGATGGGGGTGTGGTGTGTGTGGTGTAGATGGGGGTGTGGTGTGTGTGGTGTAGATGGGGGTGTGGTGTCGATGAACCTGGAGACTCGAGTTCGATTCCTGCTCGTGGCCTACCATCAGTGACTATTATCTGAACGAATCTGGACCTCTCCTAGGTCCACTCAGCCTCAAATGATAACCTTGTGTGGTGTGTCAACATCGCAACTGGGCGAGGTGCTAGCCACCGACCCTCTAGTGCACTGTGCCGGCCTTCATAGGTGCTCGCTAATAGCCCTTGCCCTTAGAGTCTGTTAAGGCTATGCGGGGGATATTTGTCTTTGTTGTGGTTTATGATGCGTGTATGGTGTGTGTGTGAGTTTGTGTACTCTGGGTATGTGATGTGTGTTTTTGTGGTTGGCTGTGTGTGTGGGTTATATGGGGTGCGGTTGGGTGTGTGTGTGCGGGTTACACGTGTGATTGTATGGAGTGCGGCTGGATGTCTGTATTGTGTGTGTGGGTTACACGTGTGATTGTATGGCGTGTGGGTTGTATGGTGTGTGGGTTGTATGGAGTGCGGCTGGATGTGTGTATTGTGTGTGGGGGTTACACAGCGAGTGGTTGGGTGTGTGGTGTGTGTGTATTGTATGGTGTGTGGTTGGGTGTGTGGTGGTGTGTGTGGGTAGACGGCGGGATGGTTGAATCAGGTGCTGTAGTTCTAAGTACTAAAAAAGCCACACGTGGTGTTCTGTTCCCCACAAATAGAACATTCACCCTGGGGCATTGCCAGAACCACACACACACGCGCACACACACTCACTAACAACAGCAAAGATAAAGATCCCCCCCCCGTAGCCTAAACAGACTGTTGGGGCAAGTGCTGCTCGTGAGTAGTATGAAGGCCGGCACGGGACACGAGGGGGCGGGTGGCCAGCAACCACGCCCGGCCGCCTTTGTCTCCCGAGTGGCGATGTTTACGCGTGGCACCGGGCACTCGTTTTTTGGCTGAGCCGACCTAGGGGAGCCCCAAGACCGGTTCAGACAATCGTCACCGGCGCTGGCCGTGAGCGGGTATCGAACTCGGGTCGCGGGGTTCGTAGCGCAGTGCAGCGCGAACCGCTGTGCCGCCGCTCATAATCCAAGTCATCTGCTGTTGTTGTCGGTGGTGCTCGAGGACCACCGACAACAACAACAACTCAACGCGTTCGTCAATGACACCGCCGTGTGTGTGGCCTTGAAAGGAGAAAAAAAAATAAGCAATGGGCGACGTTTCAGGCAATGGTCCTTCTTCAGTGGCCCTCTTCACATCACTTGAAAGAAGGTGCGCCGTTGCCCGAAAGGTCACCGATTTAATTTATTCCCTTTTATTTATGAATGAATCGAGCGACCCGTCGGTGTTCATTTGTGACATGCAAAAGTCCCTGTTCGCCAGTTAGCCGGCTCGTTTGCAAGGGGGATCCGTGCTGCATCAGCACAGAGCCACGGTAACGAGATGTTGACCAGCTCGCGTGGTATGCAGGAGGCCGCGGTTTCGATCCCCGACCCCTGACGCCTGATGTATATTTGGAGTTTGCGGTGTCTCTCTCCACCGCCACCATCACCAACGCCACCACCGCCGCCGCCGCCGCCACCACCACCGCCGCCACCACCACCGCCACCACCACGGCTTAACAAACTCTGAAGGCACCAGTAGCAGCGCCTCCATCTCTCCATCCCCAATCCTTCCCGCCCAATCCCTCCCCCATCCCCGCCTTCCCCCAGACAGATGCAGCTCAGTCCTGTAGAGGCTGGCCAGGAGGCAGGACGGGACAAACGGCTACGGAGTTGGCCTTTGGCAACCAGCCCGTCCTCGTATGTAACCGGGCCGTGGGGGGTGGGCTTAGTCAGTGGGTGTTTGGTTGAGTGAGTGGATGGGGTGGGTGATTTGGTTGAGTGGATGGGTGGTAGATTTGGGTTGACGAGTGAGTGAGCGAATGGGGCAGTGGGTGAGTGAGCGTTGTGTGGGCGAGTGAGTGAATGAGTGAGTGGTTTGGTGAGTGAATAAGTGAGTGGGTGGGTGAGTGAGTGGTTGAGTGAGTGAGTGGGTGGTTATATGGGTGGGCGAGTGAGTTAAGTGAGTGAGCAAACGGAGCAGTTGGTGAGTGAGTGAATAAGGGAGTAAGTGGGTAAGTGGCTGGTTGCGGGAGTCGGTGGTTATATTGGTGGGTGAGGTGAGTAAGTGAGTGAGCGAATGAGGCAGTGGGTGAGTGTGTGGGTAAGTGAGTGAACGAGTGAGTGGTTGGGTGGGTGAGTGAGTGGTTGGGTGGGTGAGTGAGTGAACGAGTGAGTGGTTGGGTGGGTGAGTAAGGGAGTGAGTGGGTGGGTGGGTGAGTGAGTGAACGAGTGAGTGGTTGGGTGGGTAAGTGAGGGAGTGAGTGGTTGGCTGGGTGAGTGAGTGAGTGAACGAGTGAGTGGTTGGGTGGGTGAGTGAGTAAGGGAGTGAGTGGTTGGGTGGGTGAGTGAGTAAGGGAGTGAGTGGTTGGGTGGGTGGTTGAGTAAGGGAGTGAGTGGCTGGGTGGGTGAGTGCGTGATTGTGTATGTGTGCACATATGTATTTATGTACTGTAAATTAATCGTGTGTGAATGCGTGCGTGAGTTTAAATGTCTTGGCAACCCTAATAGGTGCTCGCTACTAACCATACTTGCCCGAACAGTCTGTTAAGGCTATACGGGGGATCCCTGTCTTTGGGGAGTGGTGGGTGTAGTGGTTAGCGCTACGCTGCGCTACGAACCTTGCAACCCGAATTCGATTTCCGCTCATGGCCAACACCGGTGACGATTATCTGAACCGGTCCTGGGCCTCCCCCATAGGTCGACTCGGTCTCAAATGAGGACCTGGTGTGGTGTGTAAGCACCGGCGCCGGGCGTGGTGCTGGCCACCCACCCCCTCGTGTGCCGTGCCGGCCTTAATAAGTGCTCGCTACTCGCTACTAACAGCACTTGCCCCAGCAGTCTGTTAAAGGCTACGTGGGGGATCTTTGTCTTGTGCGTGTGAGAGTGGATCCGTGTTCATGGGTTACGGGAAGGAGAGCACCGATTTGGCCATTGTGAACCAAAACCCTTCCTGGAATGCCGCTCAGAATCCATCACAAAGCCTCCACCCCCCCCCCCCCTCCTGTGCTATGAGCATCGGCTGCCAAGTTTGGATGCTTTTGCTGAGCGTGTGCTGCAGTACGGTGGGGGGGATGAATGTGTGTGGGTGAGTGTTTGTGGGGGGTGTGGGTGAGTGTGTTTGTGGGGGGTGTGGGTGAGTGTAGGTGTGTGGGTGAGTGTAGGTGTGTGTGGGTTAGTGGGTGAGTCGGGGTGTGGGTTTATGTGGGTGGGGGTGTGTGTGTGAGAGTTTGTGTGTGTGTTTGTGGGGGAGGTGGGTGTGTGTTTGTGGGGGTGGGTGCGTGTGTGTGTGATTGGGTGTGTAGGTGTGTGTGGGTGTGTGTGGGTGGGGAGCGGTAGTGTACCGGTTAGCGCGCTGCGCTATGAACCCAGCAACCCGGGTTCGATTTCCGCTCACGGCCACCAGTGACGGTTATCTGAACCGGTCCTGGGCCTCCCCTAGGTCGACTCGGCCTCAAAATGAGTACCTGGTTTGTAAACATCGCCACTAGGGAGACAAAGGCGGCCTGGCGTGGTGCTGGCCACCCACCCCCTCGTGGTCCTTGCCGGCCTTCATAGGTGCTCGCTAACAGCACTTGCCCCTCCAGTCTATCAAGTCTACGCGGGGGATCTTTGTCTTTGGTTGTGTGGGCGTGTCTGAGATTCATTTCAAGGACAGTGCATATTATCAGAGTTGTCAATCAAATTCAAGGACAGTGCATATTATCAGAGTTGTCTTTTTTGTTTGCATTTTGACTGCTTGTGTTGTGGTTATTGCAAACATGATGCCTTGAATAAAGGTGTCAGTTTTTGTGCCAGTTAAAAAGGGTAAAACCTATTCCTGTGTCTGAGATTCGTTTTGACGCCCGTGACAGGTGCTGGTTCACGGAGCATTCCGGATGGCAAAGTGCCGGGTGGCAGAGCTTCTGCTGGAGTAGTAATAACAATAATAATAGTTGGTGACGTTTCAGGTAATGCTCCTTCTTCAGGACGCACAGAGGGGCCCTGTCTGGAGGGAGTCGAGTTCCGGGAGTTGTTCCTGTCCAGTGTTTTTTTTTAGTAGTAGTCCTCGGGTGATGTTGAAACAAAAAGTAAAAATTTCTTGCCGCTCCGTGTCCCCCCTCCCTCCTTGCCCCTTGCCCCCCCTCCCCCCACCTCCTCCCCCCCACACCCCCCACACCCCCCACACCGCCCACACCCCCCACACCCCCCACATCCCCCACACCCCCCACACCCCCAGGCGCTATCGAGGAGGCAGCCGCTGCACGAGCGATGTCCGGTCTCAACTGGAAGCCGTTTGTGTACGGGGGCCTGGCGTCCATCCCCGCGGAGTGTGGTGAGTGGGGGGGGGGGGGGAGAGGAGGGGGGGGGGAGGGGGGACGGAGTGGAGGGGGGGGGAGAGGAGGAGGGGGGGAGAGGAGAGGGGGGGAGAGGAGGGGGGGAGGGAGAGGAGGGGGGGGAGAGGAGGGGGGGAGGGAGAGGAGGGGGGGGAGGGAGAGGAGGGGGGGAGAGGAGGAGGGAGAGGAGGGGGGGGGAGGGAGAGGAGGGGGGGGAGGGAGAGGAGGGGGGGAGAGGAGGAGGGAGAGGAGGGGGGGAGAGGAGGAGGGGGGGAGGGAGAGGAGGGGGGAGGAGGGGGGGAGAGGAGGAGGGGGGAGGGAGAGGAGGGGGGAGGAGGGGGGAGGGGGGGGGAGAGGAGGGGAGGGAGGGAGAGGAGGGGGGGGAGAGGAGGAGGGGGGGAGGGAGAGGAGGGGGGGGAGAGGAGGAGGGGGGGAGGGAGAGGAGGGGGGGGAGGGAGAGGAGGGGGGGGAGAGGAGGAGGGAGAGGAGGAGGGGGAGGGAGAGGAGGGGGGGGAGAGGAGGAGGGGGGGAGGGAGAGGAGGGGAGGGAGAGGAGGGGGGGGCGAAGGAGAGGAGGGGGGGGAGGGAGAGGAGGGGGGAGGGAGAGGAGGAGGGGGGGAGGGAGAGGAGGAGGGGGGGAGGGAGAGGAGGGGGGGGAGAGGAGGAGGGGGGGAGGGAGAGGAGGGGGGAGGGAGAGGAGGGGGGGGGGGAAGGAGAGGAGGGGGGGGAGGGAGAGGAGGGGGGAGGGAGGGAGACGCAGGGAGAGAGATGGTGTTCGTGGTGGTGTGTGTTGATCGCACCGCACGAAGCCAACCGTGCTAATTGGAGGTGCGGACAACAACGGTGATGATGACGTTGACGACGGCGACGACGACGTTGCAGGCACGTTCCCCATCGACCTGACGAAGACGCGCCTGCAGGTGCAGGGCCAGCTGGTGGGCGACGCGCGCTACCGGGAGGTTCGGTACCGCGGCATGTTGCATGCACTGCACCTCATCGCTCGCGACGAGGGTCCACGCGCACTCTACTCGGGGTGAGTCCGCCCGCTCACGCGCTGGCTGCACGCACCGCACCGCGTCGGCCGCGACGAGAGGCCCCCGGCGCGCTCACCACCGGGGCGCTCACCACCGGGGAGACAAAGGCGGCCGGGCGTGGCGCCGGCCACCCCACGTCGTGCGCCGCAGCTGACGGCCTTGGTAGGCGCGCCGCTGCTCCGCTACTAACGGCACTTGCCCCAACGGCGGGGGTGGGGGGGACACCCTTTGCCTGTGGTGTCAACACCAAGTGTGAGTTTGTTGACGGTGGTTGTTAGTGGCTCGCTGGGCCCCCCTCCCCCCACCTGCCTGGGGCCCCCCTCCCCCCACCTGCTCCCCCACGCCCCCACTAACCCACGTGGCCCGATCCCTCCGCTAGGATCGCTCCGGCGGTGCTGCGGCAAGCGTCGTACGGCACCATCAAGATCGGCACCTACCAGAGCCTCAAGAGGCTGTTTGTGGACAAGCCGGAGGGTGAGTGGTGGTGGTGGTGGTGGTGACGGTGGTGGTGACGGTGGTGACGGTGGTGACGGTGGTGACGGTGGTGACGGTGGATAGGGAAGGCGGTTGCGATGTTGCACCTTGTGATGCGTCAAGTGTGGATGTGTTGTGTGATTGTGTTGTGCGATGATGTGTCCTGTCGTGCTGTGTCAAAAGGTGATGTGTCAAGTCTAGAGGCCGACCGAAACGGAATTTCTGGTTTCGGTCGAAAACGAAACCAGACCGAAAGTAAACAAATTTACTTTCGGCCGAAACCGAAACTATGCCGAAAGAGGCCATTTGCCAACTTTCAGCAAAATTCTGTCGGCCTCTAGTCAAGTCACGGCGATAATGTGCCAAATCCTGATGTGTTGTGTCAATGCGTGCCAAGTCATGGCATGTCAAGTCGTGCCTTGTCAAGTCACGACGACGACAATGTGTCGTGCCGTGTGTCTGCGTGTAGGCGACGTGTCAGGTCGTGACGTGTGTCTGTGTGTTGACGTGTCAGGTCGTGACGTGTGTCTGTGTGTTGACGTGTCAGGTCGTGACGTGTGTCTGTGTGTTGACGACGTGTCAGGTGGTGACGTGTGTCTGTGTGTAGACGTGTCAGGTCGTGACGTGTGTCTGTGTGTTGACGACGTGTCAGGTCGTGACGTGTGTCTGTGTGTTGACGACGTGTCAGGTCGTGACATGTGTCTGTGTGTAGACGTGTCAGGTCGTGACGTGTGTCTGTGTAGACGTGTCAGGTCGTGACGTGTGTCTGTGTGTAGACGTGTCAGGTCGTGACGTGTGTCTGTGTTGACGTGTCAGGTCGTGACGTGTGTCTGTGTGTAGACGTGTCAGGTCGTGACGTGTGTCTGTGTGTAGGCGACGTGTCAGGTCGTGACGTGTGTCTGCGTGTAGGTGACGAGTCAGGTCGTGACGTGTGTCTGTGTGTAGACGTGTCAGGTCGTGACGTGTGTCTGTGTGTAGACGTGTCAGGTCGTGACGTGTGTCTGTGTGTAGGTGACGAGTCAGGTCGTGACGTGTGTCTGCGTGTTGACGTGTCAGGTCGTGGCGTGTGTCTGTGTGTAGATGACGTGTCAGGTAGTGCCGTGTGTCTGTGTGTAGGTGACGTGTCAGGTAGTGACGTGTGTCTGTGTGTAGATGACGTGTCAGGTAGTGACGTGTGTCTGCGTGTAGGCGACGTGTCAGGTCGTGACGTGTGTCTGTGTGTTGACGTGTCAGGTCGTGACGTGTGTCTGTGTGTTGACATGTCAGGTCGTGACGTGTGTCTGTGTGTAGACGTGTCAGGTCGTGACGTGTGTCTGTGTGTAGACGTGTCAGGTCGTGACGTGTGTCTGTGTGTAGACGTGTCAGGTCGTGACGTGTGTCTGTGTGTTGACGACGTGTCAGGTAGTGACGTGTGTCTGTGTGTTGACGTGTCAGGTCGTGACGTGTGTCTGCGTGTTGACGTGTCAGGTGGTGACGTGTGTCTGCGTGTAGGCGACGTGTCAGGTCGTGACGAGTGTCTGTGTGTTGACGTGTCAGGTGGTGACGTGTGTCTTTGTGTAGGTGACGTGTCAGGTCGTGACGTGTGTCTGTGTGGCGACGTGTCAGGTCGTGACGTGTGTCTGTGTGTTGACGACGTGTCAGGTCGTGACGTGTGTCTGTGTGTAGACGTGTCAGGTCGTGACGTGTGTCTGTGTGTAGACGTGTCAGGTCGTGACGTGTGTCTGTGTGTAGGTGACGTGTCAGGTCGTGACGTGTGTCTGTGTGTAGACGTGTCAGGTCGTGACGTGTGTCTGTGTGTAGGTGACGTGTCAGGTCGTGACGTGTGTCTGTGTGTAGACGTGTCAGGTCGTGACGTGTGTCTGTGTGTAGGTGACGTGTCAGGTCGTGACGTGTGTCTGTGTGTAGATGACGTGTCAGGTCGTGACGTGTGTCTGTGTGTTGACGTGTCAGGTCGTGACGTGTGTCTGTGTGTAGACGTGTCAGGTCGTGACGTGTGTCTGTGTGTAGACGTGTCAGGTCGTGACGTGTGTCTGTGTGTAGACGTGTCAGGTCGTGACGTGTGTCTGTGTGTAGATGACGTGTCAGGTCATGACGTGTGTCTGTGTGTTGACGTGTCAGGTCGTGACGTGTGTCTGTGTGTAGGTGACGTGTCAGGTCGTGACGTGTGTCTGTGTGTAGACGTGTCAGGTCGTGACGTGTGTCTGTGTGTAGGTGACGTGTCAGGTCGTGACATGTGTCTGTGTGTAGACGTGTCAGGTCGTGACGTGTGTCTGTGTGTAGACGTGTCAGGTCATGACGTGTGTGTGTAGACGTGTCAGGTCGTGACGTGTGTCTGTGTGTAGACGTGTCAGGTCGTGACGTGTGTCTGTGTGTAGATGACGTGTCAGGTCGTGACGTGTGTCTGTGTGTAGACGTGTCAGGTCGTGACGTGTGTCTGTGTGTAGATGACGTGTCAGGTCGTGACGTGTGTCTGCGTGTAGACGTGTCAGGTCGTGACGTGTGTCTGTGTGTAGACGTGTCAGGTTGTGACATGTGTCTGTGTGTTGACGTGTCAGGTCGTGACGTGTGTCTGTGTGTAGGTGACGTGTCAGGTCGTGACGTGTGTCTGTGTGTAGACGTGTCAGGTCGTGACGTGTGTCTGTGTGTAGGTGACGTGTCAGGTCGTGACGTGTGTCTGTGTGTAGGTGACGTGTCAGGTCGTGACGTGTGTCTGTGTGTAGACGTGTCAGGTCGTGACGTGTGTCTGTGTGTAGACGTGTCAGGTCGTGACGTGTGTCTGTGTGTAGACGTGTCAGGTCGTGACGTGTGTCTGTGTGTAGACGTGTCAGGTCGTGACGTGTGTCTGTGTGTAGACGTGTCAGGTCGTGACGTGTGTCTGTGTGTAGACATGTCAGGTCGTGACGTGTGTCTGTGTGTAGACGTGTCAGGTCGTGACGTGTGTCTGTGTTGACGTGTCAGGTCGTGACGTGTGTCTGTGTGTAGACGTGTCAGGTCGTGACGTGTGTCTGTGTGTAGGCGACGTGTCAGGTCGTGACGTGTGTTTGTGTGTAGGTGACGTGTCAGGTCGTGACGTGTGTTTGTGTGTAGGTGACGTGTCAGGTCGTGACGTGTGTCTTTGTGTAGACGTGTCAGGTCGTGACGTGTGTCTGTGTGTAGACGTGTCAGGTCGTGACGTGTGTCTGTGTGTAGACGTGTCAGGTCGTGACGTGTGTCTGTGTGTAGACGTGTCAGGTCGTGACGTGTGTCTGTGTGTAGACGTGTCAGGTCGTGACGTGTGTCTGTGTGTAGACGTGTCAGGTCGTGACGTGTGTCTGTGTGTAGACGTGTCAGGTCGTGACGTGTGTCTGTGTGTTGACGTGTCAGGTCGTGACGTGTGTCTGTGTGTAGACGTGTCAGGTCGTGACGTGTGTCTGTGTGTAGGTGACGTGTCAGGTCGTGACGTGTGTGTCTGTGTGTAGGTGACGTGTCAGGTCGTGACGTGTGTCTGTGTGTAGACGTGTCAAGTCGTGACGTGTGTCTGTGTGTAGGTGACGTGTCAGGTCGTGACGTGTGTCTGTGTGTAGGCGATGTGTCAGGTCGTGACGTGTGTCTGTGTGTAGACGTGTCAGGTCGTGACGTGTGTCTGTGTGTAGGCGACGTGTCAGGTAGTGCCGCGTGTGTCTGTGTGTAGACGTGTCAGGTCGTGACGTGTGTCTGCGTGTAGACGTGTCAGGTCGTGACATGTGTCTGTGTGTGGACGTGTCAGGTCGTGACGTGTGTCTGTGTGTAGGTGACGTGTCAGGTCGTGACGTGTGTCTGCGTGTTGACGTGTCAGGTCGTGACGTGTGTCTGTGTGTAGGTGACGTGTCAGATCGTGACGTGTGTCTGTGTGTAGACGTGTCAGGTCGTGACGTGTGTCTGTGTGTGGACGTGTCAGGTCGTGACGTGTGTCTGTGTGTAGGTGACGTGTCAGGTCGTGACATGTGTCTGCGTGTTGACGTGTCAGGTCGTGACGTGTGTCTGTGTGTAGACGTGTCAGGTCGTGACGTGTGTCTGTGTGTAGGCGACGTGTCAGGTCGTGACGTGTGTCTGTGTGTAGACGTGTCAGGTGGTGACGTGTGTCTGTGTGTAGACGAGTCAGGTCGTGACGTGTGTCTGTGTGTAGACGTGTCAGGTCGTGACGTGTGTCTGTGTGTAGGTGACGTGTCAGGTCGTGATATGTGTCTGTGTGTAGACGTGTCAGGTCGTGACGTGTGTCTGCGTGTAGGTGACGTGTCAGGTCGTGACGTGTGTCTGTGTGTAGACGTGTCAGGTCGTGACGTGTGTCTGCATGTAGATGACGTGTCAGGTCCTGCCGTGTGTCTGCGTGTAGACATGTCAGGTCGTGACATGTGTCTGTGTGTAGACGTGTCAGGTCGTGACGTGTGTCTGTGTGTAGATGACGTGTCAGGTCGTGACGTGTGTCTGTGTGTAGACGTGTCAGGTCGTGACGTGTGTCTGTGTGTAGACGTGTCAGGTCGTGACGTGTGTCTGTGTGTAGGCGACGTGTCAGGTCGTGACATGTGTCTGTGTGTTGACGTGTCAGGTCGTGACGTGTGTCTGTGTGTAGGTGACGTGTCAGGTCGTGACGTGTGTCTGTGTGTAGACGTGTCAGGTCGTGACGTGTGTCTGCGTGTAGGTGACGTGTCAGGTCGTGACGTGTGTCTGTGTGTAGATGAGACAGGTCGTGACGTGTGTCTGTGTGTAGATGAGACAGGTCGTGACGTGTGTCTGTGTGTAGATGAGACAGGTCGTGACGTGTGTCTGTGTGTAGATGAGACAGGTAGTGCCGCGTGTGTCTGTGTGTAGACGACGTGTCAGGTCGTGACGTGTGTCTGTGTGTAGACGTGTCAGGTCGTGACGTGTGTCTGTGTGTAGATGAGACAGGTCGTGACGTGTGTCTGTGTGTAGACGAGTCAGGTAGTGCCGCGTGTGTCTGTGTGTAGATGAGACACTGCCCGTGAACGTGTGTCTGTGTGTAGGTGACGTGTCAGGTAGTGCCGTGTGTGTCTGTGTGTAGATGAGACAGGTCGTGACGTGTGTCTGTGTGTAGACGAGTCAGGTAGTGCCGCGTGTGTCTGTGTGTAGATGAGACACTGCCCGTGAACGTGTGTCTGTGTGTAGGTGACGTGTCAGGTAGTGCCGCGTGTGTCTGTGTGTAGATGAGACACTGCCCGTGAACGTGCTGTGTGGGGTCCTCTCCGGCGTCATCTCCTCCACCATCGCCAACCCCACCGACGTGCTCAAGGTGACGCTGCCCCCCCCGCACACACACACACACACGCACACACACACGCACACACACGCACACGCACACACACGCACACACATGCACACGCACACACACGCACACACACACAGACACACAGACACACACACACAGACACACACACACAGACACACACACACAGACACAGACACACACACGGACACACACACACGGATGCACACACACACACGCACACACACACACGCACGCACACACACGTGTATCTGTACGTAGTGTGCGCGTGTGTCTAAACGTGGTGTGTGCCTGTTCGTAGTGTGTGCGTATGTGTCTGTACGTAGTGTGTGTGCGTGTGTGTCTGTACGTAGTGTGTGTGCGTATGTGTTTGTATGTAGTGTGTGTATGTGTACGTAGTGTACGCGTGCATGTGTCTGTACGTACTGTGTGTGTGTGTGTATGTAGTGTGCGCGTGCGTGTCTGTATGTAGTGTGCACGTACGTGTCTGTACGTAGTGTGTGCGTGTGTGTCTGTACGTTGTGTGTGTGTGTGTGTGTACGTAGTGTACACGTGCGTGTGTGTGTACATAGTGTGCGCGTGCGTGTCTGTATGTAGTGTGCACGAACGTGTCTGTACGTAGTGTGTGTGTGTGTGTACGTAGTGTACACGTGCGTGTGTGTGTACGTAGTGTGCGCCTGCGTGTCTGTATGTAGTGTGCACGTACGTGTCTGTACGTAGTGTCTGTGTGTGTACGTAGTGTACACGTGCGTGTGTGTGTACGTAGTGTGTGTGTGTGTGTACGTAGTGTGTGTGTGTGTGTACGTAGTGTGCGCGTGCGTGTGTGTGTACGTAGTGTGTGTGTGTACGTAGTGTACACGTGTGTGTACGTAGTGTACACGTGTGTGTACGTAGTGTACACGTGCGTGTGTGTACGTAGTGTGTGTGTGTGTACGTAGTGTACACGTGCGTGTGTGTGTACGTAGTGTGTGTGTGTGTGTACGTAGTGTGTGTGTGTGTGTACGTAGTGTGCGCGTGCGTGTGTGTGTACGTAGTGTGTGTGTGTACGTAGTGTACACGTGTGTGTACGTAGTGTACACGTGCGTGTGTGTACGTAGTGTGTGTGTGTGTACGTAGTGTACACGTGCGTGTGTGTGTACATAGTGTGCGCGTGCGTGTGTGTGTACGTAGTGTACACGTGTGTGTCTGTACGTAGTGTGTGTGTGTGTCTGTACGTAGTGTGTGTGTATGTGTACACAGTGTGCGTGTGTGTCTGTATGTAGTGTGTGTGTGTCTGTACGTAGTGTGTGTGTACGTAGTGTGTGTGTGTCTGTACGTAGTGTGTGTGTGTGTGTACGTAGTGTGTGTGTGTGTGGGGAGCGGTAGTGTAGCGGTTCGCGCACTGCGCTACAAACCCAGCGACCTGGGTTCGATTCCCGCTCACACCACAGTGACGATTATCTGAACCGCTTCTGGGCCTCCCCTAGGTCGACTCGGCCTCAAATGTGTACCTGGTGTGTTGTGTGGTAAACATCGCCACTGGGGAGACAAAGGCGGTGCTGCTGCTCGCTAACAGCACTTGCCCCTTACAGTATGTTAAGGCTATAAGGGGGATCTTTGTCTTTTTTGTCTGTACGTAGTGTGTGCAATGCGTGTCTGTACGTAGTGTCCACGTGCGTGTGTGTGTCTCCATAGTGTGGGTGCGTTTGTCTGTGCGCGTGTCTGTCAGGAGCGGCAGTGTAGCGCTGCGAACCCGGCAATCCCGAGTTCAATTCCTGCTCACGGCCAACACCAGTGACGATTATCCGAACCGGTTCTGGGCCTCCCCTAGGTCGACTAAGCCTCAAATGAGTACCTGGTGCAGTGTGTAGTAAACATCGCCACTGGGGAGACAAAGGCGGCCGGGCGTGGTGCTGGCCACCGACCCCCCTCGTGTGCCGTGCCGGCCTTCGTAGGTGCTGCCGATTGCTAACAGCACTTGCCCCAACAGTCTGTTAAGGCTACACGGTGGGGGTGGGGGGGTGTCTTTGTGTTTGCGTCTCAGATTCGCATGCAGGCACAGGGAGGCGTGTTCCAGACGGGGATGATTGGAAGCTTCATCGACATTTACCAGCAGGAGGGCACGCGGGGTCTGTGGAGGGTGAGTCGCTTCTCTGTGACCTGGAATGCCGCGGCCACCGCCACCACTACGATCAACCCACCAACACCACCGCTACCGCCACGACCACCGTCATAATCATCACCACCACCACCATCATCACCACCACCACCGCTGCCACCACCATCACCGTCACCGACACCATCATAATTATCGCCATCATCATCACCACCGCCGTCACCGACACCGTCATAATCATCACCACCACCACCATCATCATAATCATCACCACCACCGCCGTCAACGCCATCACTACCGCCACCACTACCGCACAGCACTCGCTCAACTTCGGAGATGGAGTCAGAGAGAGAGTCAGAGAGAGAGAGTCAGAGAGAGAGTCAGAGAGAGACAGAGAGACTGAGACAGAGAGACCGAGAGAGAGAGAGACCGAGAGAGAGAGACCGAGAGAGAGAGACCGAGAGAGAGAGACCGAGAGAGAGAGACCGAGAGAGAGAGACCGAGAGAGAGAGACCGAGAGAGAGAGACCGAGAGAGAGAGACCGAGAGAGAGAGAGACCGAGAGAGAGAGAGACCGAGACAGAGAGACCGAGACAGAGAGACCGAGAGAGAGAGACCGAGAGAGAGAGACCGAGAGAGAGAGACCGAGAGAGAGAGACCGAGAGAGAGAGAGACCGAGAGAGAGAGAGACCGAGACAGAGAGACCGAGAGAGAGAGAGACCGAGAGAGAGAGACCGAGACAGAGAGACCGAGAGAGAGAGAGACCGAGAGAGAGAGACAGAGAGAGAGAGAGACCGAGAGAGAGAGACAGAGAGAGACAGACCGAGACAGAGAGACCGAGACAGAGAGACCGAGACAGAGAGACAGAGAGAGAGACCCAGAGAGAGACCGAGAGAGAGAGACCGAGAGAGAGAGACCGAGACACAGAGACCGAGAGAGAGAGACCGAGACAGAGAGACCGAGAGAGACAGACCGAGAGAGAGACCGAGAGAGAGAGAGACCGAGAGAGAGAGAGACCGAGAGAGAGACCGAGAGAGAGAGAGAGACCGAGAGAGAGAGAGACCGAGAGAGAGACCGAGAGAGAGAGACCGAGACACAGAGACCGAGAGAGAGAGACCGAGAGAGAGAGAGAGACCGAGAGAGAGAGAGACCGAGAGAGAGAGACCGAGAGAGAGAGACCGAGAGAGAGAGACCGAGAGAGAGAGAGACCGAGAGAGAGAGACCGAGAGAGAGAGACCGAGAGAGAGAGACCGAGAGAGAGAGACCGAGAGAGAGAGACCGAGAGAGAGAGACCGAGAGAGAGAGACCGAGAGAGAGAGACCGAGAGAGAGAGACCGAGAGAGAGAGACCGAGACAGAGAGACCGAGACAGAGAGACCGAGACAGAGAGACAGAGAGAGAGACCGAGACAGAGAGACCGAGAGAGAGAGACCGAGAGAGAGAGACCGAGAGAGAGAGACCGAGAGAGAGACCGAGAGAGAGAGAGACCGAGAGAGAGAGACCGAGAGAGAGAGACCGAGAGAGAGAGACCGAGACAGAGAGACCGAGAGAGAGAGACCGAGAGAGAGAGACCGAGAGAGAGAGACCGAGAGAGAGAGACCGAGAGAGAGACCGAGAGAGAGAGACCGAGACAGAGAGAGACACAGAAAGTTCGATTCCTGCTCACCTACGGCGCTGGTGATGTGTGCTCGCTAGCAGCACTTGCCCCAACAGTCTGTTAAAGGCTACACGACCACCTCTGTCTGGTGTATGCGTGCGTGCGTGTATACACTTGTGTGTATGCTTGTGCGTTTGTGCGTGCGTGTGTGTGTGTACACTTGTGTCTACACTTGTGCGTGTGTGCGTGCGTGTGTGTGTACGCTTGTGCGTGTGTGCGTGTGTGTGTGTGTACACTTGTGTGTACGCTTGTGCGTGTGTGTGCGCGTGTGTTCGTGCGTGTGTACACTTATGTGTACGCTTGTGCATGTGTGCGTGCGTGCGTGTGTACACTTGTGTGTACGCTTGTGTGTGTGTGCGTGCGTGCGTGTGTTCACTTGTGTGTACGCTTGTGCGTGTGTGCGTGCGTGTGTACACTTGTGCGTACGTAGGGAGTCATGCAGACGGCACAGCGAGCGGCGATCGTGGTGGGCGTGGAGCTGCCGGTGTACGACATCACCAAGAAGCACCTCATCCTGTCGGGGCTCATGGGAGACACGGTGCTCACCCACTTTGTGTGAGTCGCCCGCCCACTCACCCGCTTGCCAACTCACTCGCCCGCTCACTCACCCGCTCACTCACCCGCTCCACCCTCCTCTGTCTCTGTGTATTCACCCCCCTGCCCGAGGTTCGTGTCTCAGTATGTACATCCATGTCTGTGTCTCTCTGTGTCTCTGTGCCTCCGTGTCATCTCTGTGTCATCTCTGTGTCATCTCTGTGTCATCTCTGTGTCATCTCTGTGTCATCTCTGTGTCATCTCTGTGTCATATCCATGTCCTCCGTGTTATCTCCGTGTCATCTCTGTGTCATCTGTGTCATGTCCATGTCATCTCCGCATGGTGGTCTCCGCGTGGTGGTCTCCGTCTCCGCGTGGTGGTCTCCGCGTGGTGGTCGTGGTCTCCGCGTGGTGATTTCCGTCTCCGCATGGTGGTCTCCGTCTCCGCATGGTGGTCTCCGTCTCCGCGTGGTGATCTCCGCGTGGTGATCTCCGCGTGGTGATCTCCGCGTGGTGATCTCCGCGTGGTGGTCTCCGTCTCCGCGGTGGTCTCCGCGTGGTCTCTGCGTTGTCTCCGTCTCCGCGTGGTCGTGGTCTCCGCATGGTGGTCTCCGCGTGGTGGTCTCCGTCTCCGCGTGGTGGTCTCCGTCTCCGCGTGGTGGTCTCCGCGTGGTGGTCTCCGCGTGGTGATCTCCGCGTGGTGGTCTCCGTCTCCGCGTGGTCTCTGTCTCCGCGTGGTGGTCTCCGTCTCCGCGTGGTGGTCTCCGTCTCCGCGTGGTGATCTCCGCGTGGTCTCTGTCTCCGCGTGGTGGTCTCCGTCTCCGCGTGGTGATCTCCGCGTGGTGATCTCCGCGTGGTCTCTGTCTCCGCGTGGTGGTCTCCCTCTCTGCATGGTGATCTCCGCGTGGTGGTCTCCGTCTCCGCGTGGTGCCGTCCCAGCTCGAGCTTCGCGTGCGGCCTGGCGGGCGCCCTGGCCTCCAACCCGGTGGACGTTGTGCGCACACGCATGATGAACCAGCGCCACCTCAAGAGCACCGGCGCCCCTGCCAGCACCGCCGCCCTCTACCGGGGCACGCTGCACTGCATGCTGCAGGTGAACTCAACTGTGAAAATAAAAGTTTCAGTGTTTTTTTTTTCATTTTACCCAGTGTATAGTAAGGCCCTCTGAGCTTTTTCGGAAGCGACCCTGGCTATCGCGAATGATAGCTCAGCGAAGCGGTGCTTATCGTCGTCTTCGCGTGTACATTTATAGCAGCCAAGTACTCTAAAGCACGTGACGTTGATTCTAAATGCGGTGGGGGAAAAAGCGTAGGAAGCGGACAAGAATCTGCCTGACCACGGAGAGAGAGAGAGAGACACGCAAACTCCAGATAGGCATCGTCAGGGTCGGGATCGAACCCACGACCTCCTGGATACCAGGCGAGGTCGTTAACATCGACCTCGCCTGGTATCCTCCTAGTCGGGCGTCGGGGGCGCGGGTCAGGGGTCGAGAGCGGATGGCTGATGATGTGATTTGGGTTAAAGCGTGACGTTCAGGTGACGTCGCGGGTCAGGGAGGTGCAGGGATTTGGGTTAAAGCGTGACGTTCAGGTCCTACTTGTCTGCATTGTGTTTGTGTGTCCGTCCCTGTGTCTGTCTGTCTGTGTGTGTGCGCGCGTCTGAGTGTGTGTGTGTGCGTCTGAGTGTGTGTGTGTGTGTGTGTGCGCGTCTGAGTGTGTGCGTTTGGGTGTGTGCGTGTGTCTTTGTCTTGTGTTATCTGCGTGTGTGTCTGCGTGTACGTGCGTACGTGTGTGTGTGCGCATGTCTCTGCGTGTGCATGTGTGTTTGCCCGTGTGTGTCTGCGTGCGTGTGTCTGCGTGTGTGTGTGTACGTGCTTACGTGTAAATGTGTGTGGGTTTGTGCGTGCGTGTGTGTGCTTGTGAGGCAGACGTTCCGTACGGAGGGCTTCATGGCGCTCTACAAGGGCTTCTGGCCCAACTGGCTCCGGCTGGGACCTTGGAACATCATTGTATCCTTAAATATCATCATCAGCAGCAGTATTATCAGCATCATTCACTGCATCATTATCGACAGCAGCATATACTGAAATCTCAACATGATCATCATCATCACCACGATCGCAGTTGCTAACATCTCAACATCATCATCACCATGATCACAGTCACTGACATGTCAACATGATCATCATCACCACGATCACAGTCACTGAAATTTCAACATCATCATCATCATCACCACGATCACAGTCACTGAAATTTCAACATGATCATCATCATCATCATCACCACGATCACAGTCACTAACATCTGAACATGATCATCATCATCACCACGATCACAGCCACTGACATCTCAACATGATGATCATCATCACCACCCCGATCACAGTCACTGACATCTCAACATCATCAGCACCACGATCAGTCACTGACATCTCAACATCATCATCATCAGCACCACGATCACCATCACTGACATCTCAACATCATCATTACCATGATCAAAGTCACTGACATCTCAACATGATCATCATCACCTCGATCAAAGTCACTGACATCTCAACATCATCAGCACCACGATCAGTCACTGATATCTCAACATCATCAGCACCACGATCAGTCACTGACATCTCAACATCATCATCATCAGCACCACGATCACCGTCACTGACATCTCAACATCATCATTACCATGATCAAAGTCACTGACATCTCAACATGATCATCACCATGATCAAAGTCACTGACATCTCAACATGATCATCACCACCACGGTCACAGTCACTGACATCTCAACATCATCAGCATCATCATCGTCGTAATCGTCGTTGAAAGACGGTTACTGTATAAGCGAGTTTAACACGTAGACTTTCGCGAGCAATATTATCCATAATACAGTTTTTTTGGGTTAGATCGCGTAAATATCAATGTGTTGTTAAACCCGCCACCACCCGACAAAGCCAATTAGTAAGGTTTGTCTCCTAAATGGAACTTGTCAATTCGTTATTAGTTCAGCACACTGGTGTGTTGTAGAGTAACCCCACAACATGTAAATGTTGTGGGTTTACTGACAAACCTTACTAATTGTCTGTGTCGGGTGGTGACGGGTTTAACGACACATTTATATTTACGCTATCTAGCGCAAAAAAAAAAACTCGTGTATAAGTGATGTTGCTCTGCCTCATTCATTCGTTCGCTAATTGGTTTATTCCCGCATGCGGGCCATGGGGTTCATTCCCCGACTGATGGGGTTCATCCCCAGACTCGAATGTTCCCTGACACCGCCGCCCACGCTCAGTTCTTCATCACGTACGAGCAGTTGAAGAAGCTGAACTTGTGAAGACGAGGAGGAGGAGGGCGGAGGAAGAGGATGGGCAGGAAAGGGAAAGGAGAAAGAGGCGGTGGATGAGGAGGAGGAAGAGGAGGAGGAAGACGAAGTGAAGTTATGCTTCTTCGTGTTTCAACCTCGACGGGAACGTGACAAGAAGTGAAAACGAACGCGAAGTTGAGCTTGGGGCCATGCGGGACACGAGCAAAGTGAGGAACAGACTCGGGGAAGTTCGCGAAAGCTCCGCTGAACGTTTCACGACACCTGATCGACCGACCGTGCCATGGTTGGCGGGACGTTAACTTTTTTACGTTACCAAGGCAGCTTGCAAGGTTCGGCAGAGACGCGGTCGGAAGTGGTCGCATTAGCCCATCATCGTCGTCATCCCTCCGGGGTGGATAAAAACCCCCAACATAGGAATGTGGAATTTCCACCACCGGCTCAGCGGAGCATGTCAACAGGAGACAAAACACCCCCGATGCTTCGACAGTCATCAGATTGCACGATGTCTGTGGCATCGGTTGTTGTGGTTTATTTATTGAACGAGTCCACGGCTTTGACGCATTCACGAAACATAACGCACCATAGCCATCCCGTCAGCTACGGGAACGTAGGCACTGAGGTGGCTAGGAGATGTTAACAACCTCGCCCGGTATACAGGAGGTCGTGGGTTCGATCCCAACCGTGACGTCTGCTGTGTATTTGGAAGTTTGCGTGTTTCTCTCTCTCATCATCATCATCATGGTGGCCAGGAGATGTTAACTCCCTCGCCTGGTATGCGGGCGAGAGACGATGCCCGGTGTCTCTTGAGAGTTTGCGTCTCTCTCACCGCGGTCGCGTGGATTTTTCTCCGGGGCCCTCCGGTTTTTCCCTCCACGCTTAAAATCAACATCACTCGTTGAGAGTATTTGGGTGCTGCTGTAAATGTCCACGCAATGATGATGATAAGCCGCCCACCTAGTTGAGCTATCGTTTGTGATGGCCAGGATCGCTTCTGACATAGAGCTACACAGCTCTGTGGGGCCTATCATGCTAAAGTAACATTTAATTTAATTTAGGGGTCTATTGCCGTCTTATTCCACCACATGTTTACGGCCAGCCTGGAAGAGTAGGCCAAATACAACGCTGGAGCATTGGTTGGCAAAACTGACGACGGCTCCTTGAGGCGCTGCTTCGTGTGTGACGTTATTTGTGAAGGACTCGCCGTCCCGTGTTAATCGCGCGCACTGCGCGACTATTTAAGTACAGTGATGACGACTCTACTTACGAATGAGTTATGCTACGGAGGTTTCTGTTCGTAAGTCCCAACTTTACTCCTGTCGATTCCAAACATGTTATATGCTGTGTACACTAAACACCGGGGAATGGCTTTAAAAGGGGTGTAATCTCCTGTAGGTGTAGACGCCACTGGTTCTTCATGTTCTACAGATGTAGATGCCACTGGTTCTTCACGTTCTGCAGATGTAGATGCCACTGGTTCTTCACGTTCTGCAGATGTAGATGTCACTGGTTCTTCACGTTCTGCAGATGTAGACGCCACTGGTTCTTCACGTTCTGCAGATGTAGACGCCACTGGTTCTTCACGTTCTGCAGATGTAGACGCCACTGGTTCTTCATGTTCTGCAGATGCTGACGCCACTGGTTCTTCACGTTCTGTAGATGTAGACGAGACTGGTTCTTCATGTTCTGCAGATGTAGATGCCACTGATTCTTTACGTTCTGCAGATGTAGACGCCACTGCTTCTTCACGTTCTACAGATGTCGATGCCACTGGTTCTTCACTTTCTGCAGATGTAAATGCCACTGGTTCTTCACTTTCTGCAGATGTAGATGCCACTGGTTCTTCATGTTCTGCAGATGTAAATGCCACTGGTTCGTCACGTTCTGCAGATGTAGACGCCACTGGTTCTTCATGTTCTGCAGATGTAGATGCCACTGGTTCTTCATGTTCTGCAGATGTAGATGCCACTGGTTCTTCATGTTCTGCAGATGTAGATGTCACTGGCTCTTCACGTTCTGCAGATGTAGATGCCACTGGTTCTTCACGTTCTGTAGATGTAGACGCCACTGGTTCTTCACGTTCTGCAGATGTAGATGCCACTGGTTCTTCACGTTCTGTAGATGTAGATGCCACTGGTTCTTCATGTTCTGCAGATGCAGATGTCACTGGTTCTTCACGTTCTGCAGATGCAGATGCCACTGGTTATTCACGTTCTGCAGATGTAGATGTCACTGGTTCTTCACTTTCTGCAGGTGTAGATGTCACTGGTTCTTCATGTTCTGCAGATGTAGATGCCACTGGTTCTTCACGCTCTGCAGATGTAGATGCAGCTGGTTCTTCACTTCCTGCAGATGTAGATGTCACTGGTTCTTCATGTTCTGCAGATGTAGATGCCACTGGTTCTTCACTTTCTGCAGATGTAGATGCCACTGGTTCTTCATGTTCTGCAGATGTAGATGCCACTGGTTCTTCATGTTCTGCAGATGTAGATGCCACTGCTTCTTCACGCTCTGCAGGTGAAGATGCCACCGGTTCTTCACGTTCTGTAGATGTAGACGCCACTGGTTCTTCTTGTTCTGCAGATGTAGATGTCACTGGTTCTTCATGTTCTGCAGATGTAGATGCCACTGCTTCTTCACGCTCTGCAGGTGAAGATGCCACCGGTTCTTCACGTTCTGTAGATGTAGACGCCACTGGTTCTTCTTGTTCTGCAGATGTAGACGCCACTAGTTCTTCTTGTTCTGCAGATGTAGATGTCACTGGTTCTTCATGTTCTGCAGATGTAAATGCCACTGGTTCTTCATGCTCTGCAGATGTCGATGCCACTGGTTCTTCATGCTCTGCAGATGTCGATGCCACTGGTTCTCCAGATTCTGTAGATGTAGATGCCACTGGTTCTTCATGCTCTACAGATGTAGATGCCACCACCGCCATCCATTGTGCGGGGCAGTTAAACTTACGACTCTCGGTCCGAACAGGCAACTGGACGTACGGACAAGGTTTGTTCATATTTCTGAAAGTTCCTGAGTCGAATGTTCGTAAGTAGAGGCGTCCCTGTATTGAGATGTTTTTTTACCTTTAGTCATTTTTTGGTTTGCCCCCTGACCCCTTCGCTGGAGGGGGCCTCTCCCCGCAGGTAGAGCCCCCTCTAGCGGTGGTGCTGACCCCTTTGGCCAGCGGTGGTGGCGTGAGCGAGAAGTTTCAGGGCTGCGCCATTACCTCGTTTCCCTCTCCTCCCCCCCCCCACCTTATCCCAGACAATGAGGAGGTGACCCGTGCTTCCGATTCACCAAAATTCAAAAGTTTCGATTCCTAAAGTTGCAAAAGCTTTCATTTTATTATGTTTACGGGTTTTCAGTTTACGCGGCCAGAGCACAGAACGTGTAACGTCAATCGTAGCAATGCCGTGGGTTCTGTTTAAGAAAAGAAGATGTGAGGTAAGATTTGTCGTAACCCCCGAGTGAATTAGACGGTCGGCGACATTGGGGCGGGTCGTAAAGTTACGATACGTCGTTCGGAGTGCCCGACGTCACGCGTGTAGATATTAATCTCAAACGATAACATAACGAGATCAAACGGCTCTGACATTTCTAACGATATTGGTATAGTCAATCGTGATACCATCAGTAACATCAACACGCTAACTCTGGCCATGGACTGGCTTTAACACATGGAGCGATGATGTCGTTGCAGTCACGTTGCATGGGGGTCCTTGTGGCAGCCATGCTGCATGGGGGGGTCCTTGTGGCAGCCATGTTGCATGGGGGTCCTCGTGGCAGCCATGTTTCATGGGGGTCCTTGTGGCAGCCATGTTTCATGGGGGTCCTCGTGGCAGCCATGTTTCATGGGGTCCTCGTGGCAGCCATGTTTCATGGGGGTCCTCGTGGCAGCCATGTTTCATGGGGGTCCTCGTGGCAGCCATGTTTCATGGGGGCCTTCGTGGCAGCCATGTTTCATGGGGGTCTTCGTGGCAGCCATGTTGCATGGGGGTCTTCATGGCAGCCATGTTGCATGGGGGTCCTCGTGGCAGCCATGTTGCATGAGGGTCCTCGTGGCAACCGATTGGCTTGGTGCCGTGGGAGTGATGGCACAGTCCTCTACAACACCCGTATTGACTTCGACTTAACATCCGCTTTTCTCTTGCAGCCATTTTACACGCTCGCAGCATTCTTGTCGCCTGCCACGCTTGCGAGGAAATCTTAAGAGAACGTTCCGAGCTCTCGGCCCTGGTCATTTAAAACGGATCCCAGCAGTGGTCGCTGCGCAGCCGCCAGTGGGCGGACACCGATTGCCCCCCCCCCCCTGCCATGGGAATGTGGAATTCCTGTGCAGGCGTGAGATACGATTGTTTTAAAGCTTGTTCACGTTGCCAGTGCGACGTGCGTGTGTGTCTGCCTGCCGCGACTGTATCTGAGCGAGGATTAGACTGTCGAGTTTGAAAGTACGTCATCCGTAAGAGTTTTTTTTTATTTGCGTGCTAGATCACGTGAATATAAATGTGTCGTTAAACCCGCCACCACCCGACACACAGCCAATTAGTAAGGTTTGTCACGTAAACAGAACGTGCCAATTCATAGCAAACGTTTTCGCGTTAGATTGCCAATGTGCAAATGCGTCGTAACCCGCCACCGCCCGACACAAACGAGGTTTGTCACTTAACACGTAGGCTTTCGCGACCAATATTATTCATAATAAAGGTTTTTGGGTTAGATCGCGTTTATTTATAAATGTGTCGTAACCCTCCACCACCCGACACGGCCAATCAGCAAAAAAAGTGTCACGTTGACAAAAGTAGTGAATTATTTGAATAGTGAATTATTTGTCTTTTGTCAACGTGACACTTTTTTTGCTGATTGGCCGTGTCGGGTGGTGGAGGGTTACGACACATTTATAAATAAACGCGATCTAACCCAAAAACCTTTATTATGAGGTTTGTCACGTGAACAACGCGCCAATTAGTTACCGCTTCAGCACACCGGCGTGTCGGAGAGTAATCCACATTTACTCCACAGAGTTGATCCGCAACATTTACCCTCCAACACACCGGTGTGCTGAAGTGGTGGCTAATTGGCGCATTGTTCTACGTGACGAACCTCGCTGGCTGTGGCGGGTGGTGGAGGGTTACGACACATTTATACTCACGTGATCTAACCCCAAAAGCCTTTGTTATGAATAATATTGGTCGCGAAAGTCAGCGCGTTAAACAGAACATGCCAATTCGTTACTCGTCCAACACACCGGTGTGTTGGAGAGCAAATCCACATTTTGTTTTACGTGACAAACCTTACTTATTGGCCATCTGGGTGGTGGAGGGTTTAACGACACATTCACGCAATCGAACCCCAAAACAAACCTTCGTTATAGATGATATTGGTCGCGAAAGCCCGTCACGTGTTAAACTATATCTTGTTTTATAGTATTTATTGAGACGGCCGTTGTAGTGGCATTCAGATATAGGTTAGCAACCGAGAGGAAGACCTGATGGCCAGGTGGTGGTGGTGATGATGGCAGTGGTGGTGGTGGTGGAGGCTCGTCAAGGACGCTGCTGCCGGGCAGTTTGAGGCAGTCGCCCTCCGGCAACAACAGCGGAGGGAGTGGAGGAGCGACGCTCACAACAACGAGCGAAACGCCGGGTGGCTAAAACGCATCAAAGTTGTCACAGTTGGGGGGCACAGGTGGTGCATCTGCCGTCCGTCTCAGTCCGCCAACCCGGGGCACCACCTGGGGTCTGTCCCGTGACCACCTCCTGCACCTAGCCTGGCACAGCAGTCAACCCATGGCACCACCTGGGGGTCTGTCCCGTGACCTCCTCCTGCACCTAGCCTGGCACAGCAGTCAACCCATGGCACCATCTGGGGTCTGTCCCGTGACCTCCTCCTGCACCTAGCCTGGCACAGCAGTCAACCCGAGGCACCACCTTGGGTCTGTCCCGTGACCTCCTCCTGCACCTAGCCTGGCACAGCAGTCAACCCAAGGCACCACCTGGGGGTCTGTCCCGTGACCTCCTCCTGCACCTAGCCTGGCACAGCAGTCAACCCATGGCACCACCTGGGGGTCTGTCCCGTGACCTCCTCCTGCACCTAGCCTGGCACAGCAGTCAACCCATGGCACCACCTGGGGGTCTGTCCCGTGACCTCCTGCTGTCAGCAGCCAGCGAGCCTCCGACTCTTCATGTGACGATCTCAAAGTGCCACCTAGCCTGGCACGGGCGCCGTGGTGACGTCACCGTCACTTAGTGGCGAATGGCGGGGGTATTGGTCATGGTGATGATTGTGGTGGTGGTGGTGAAGGGACTTAACCACCTGTGCAATCGTCCGTGTAACCTGGCAGAGGGCAAGTGGCGACGGCGTCTCTATTGACGGTGGTCGTGGGTCGACCCCTGCGTCTTGAACCTGGTCGGCCTATAGGTAGACGTTTCGTGTGCGAGGTTATTCTGTTACCGTTATGACGCGATTGAGTGCACCATCGCTGCCTTTTGGCGTCTTGAATTAAACGCCCGTGCGCACATCGCCGCCACTTGGTTGAAACGAGGGCGCAATGAGGAGGTGACCGAGTGTCTTGAAGGCCACCCATGCTGAGCGGGCATGGCCTGAGGCCCTGGTTTCCAATCCGGTTTCACGGCGCGGTCACCCAGTGGCTTATATAGACGCACAGACTCGCATAGAGACCCGTAGACTCGCGCAGAGACCCGTAGACTCGCATAGAGACCCGTAGACTCGCATAGAGACACGTAGACTCACATAGAGAACAATAGACTCACATAGAGATCCACAGACTCGCATAGAGACCCATAGACTCAGAGACCCGTAGACTAGCATAGAGACCCATAGACTCACGCAGAGACCCATAGACTCACAGAGACCCACAGACTCGCATAGAGACCCATAGACTTGCATAGAGACCCGTAGACTCGCATAGAGACCCATAGACTCGCACAGAGATGCATAGACTCGCACAGAGACCCATAGACTCGCATAGAGACCCATAGACTCGCATAGAGACCCGTAGACTAGCATAGAGACCCATAGACTCGCATAGAGACCCATAGACTCGCATAGAGACCCGTAGACTCGCATAGAGACCCATAGACTCGCATAGAGACCCGTAGACTCGCCTAGAGATTCGAATTAGACCCGCATAGCGACCCGTAGACTCACAGAGACCCATAGACTTGCATAAAGACCCACAGGTTCACAGAGATCCATAAATCCACAGAGACTCATACTCACGTCGAGACCCATATATTCACATAGCGACACAGATTTGCATTGAAACCCATAGACTCTGAGATCAATTGATTAACAGAGCCTCATAGGCTCACATAGAGACCCATAGACTCACATAGAGACACATAGACTCACATAGAGACCCATAGACTCCTAATGAGACCCATAGATCCACATAGAAATTCATAGACTCGCATAGAGACCCATAGACTCCTATAGAGACCCATAGATCCACATAGAGACCCATAGACTCACATAGAGACCCATAGATCTACAGAGAGACCCATAAACTCCGATAGAGATCCATAGATCCACATAGAGACCCATACTCGCATAGAGACCCATAGACTCACAGTGGCCCAAAGACTCGCATAAAGACCCGCAGATCAACAATAGAGACCCGTAGACTTGCATAGAGACCCATAGGTTCACATCGAGTTCAAGATACTCGCATAGAGACCCGTGGATTCACAAAGACCCGCATAGAGACCCGTGGACTCGCGCACACACTGGGTTTGTGACCATGCACGTCATGCTACTGTTGAGTTTGCACTTCACGCGTTAAAATTCTGACCGCGGTGGCACGCGGTCCGAGCCGTCCCTGGGGCGACGGCAGATTGGGGCGACTGCCCTGGGCCCCGCGCGTTGCAGTGCGGGGGGGGTGACCTAGGTCCCGCACACACCCTCCCCTCTAGGGACAGCGCTGCACGCGGTGTCGTCTTGCCTCGGGGTTGAGGTTTGCTCGCTGTGGCGAGGTCGTAACGCTCTTCACTGGTATGCTGGAGGGCGCGTGGGTTCGATCCTCCCAGACCCTTAACGTGTGCTGTATATTTGGAGTTTGCAGGTTCTCCCCGCGGTCGCGTGGATTTTGATCGAGGGCCTACGGTGTTTCTCTCCAACATCACGCGTCTAGAGTGCTTGGCTACTGCCATACGTTTCCACGTGATAGTGCTGATATATATACACACACACACACGCCACTTTGTTGAGCTATCGTTTGTTGATAGCCAGGCCGCTAATGTAAGAAAATAGAGCTACATAGCTCAGTGGGCCTTAACTGGTAAAATAAACAAAAAACATTTTTTGAGTTTAGTTTCAATGTTTTAAATGATGCATGGGTAACAGCGTGCTTTTTTTGTTTTTAAGTTACCTAGCATTGTCTTATTATTGCTATCATGATTTTGTCTGTGCTGCTCCCTAAACAAGTCCAATTAAACTATTTAACTGCTTGAGCACAGACGGGCTGCAGTCGTCACTCACCGTCACAACACAGGCGGCACGTGACCTGCATCGCAGGCGGCACGTGACCTGCATCGCAAGCGGCACGTGGCCTGCATCGCAGGCGGCACGTGGCCTGCATCGCAGGCGGCACGTGGCCTGGATTCAGGTGGCACGTGGCCTGCATCGCAGGCGGCACGTGGCCTGGATTCAGGTGGCACGTGGCCTGGATTCAGGTGGCACGTGGCCTGCATTCATCCGAACGCTGCACAGCGAGTCCTCGTCCAACGCGCGAGTGGGAGATGCAAGCGTCGCGTCAAAACGAGAAGCGCATTTCGCGGAAGCGACTCGCCCGTAAGTTGCGCAATTCACGGTCACGTTCGATGGACTGCACGAACCGCACAACCACGCAGTGAGACGGCGGGACAAATACACTTAGCCGCCGCCGCCGCATCACAGTATCACCTCGCGGTTACTGTATCACTCCGCTTGGCCCCGCAGCTCAAGAAAGTAGTTCGCCGTCGAGCGCTCAGAAGCCGCGTTGTAGCGAGCGCGCGTTCCGCGTTACGGAGGAAACGCGTTAAGGTGTGAACAACCGCGCGTTCGGCGAGGACTTTGCCGTACCCCGATGACGATTTGACCATCGCGGCATCTCCACACCGCAGCCTTCATTTTAATTTCATATCTTTATTCGCGTCATCGGTTTCTTCCATCATCTATATATACATACATGTTTTTTTATTATTAATAGTACATATACTGTGTAACCTATGAGTGTCCAACGCACAATGCATAATCTTCACAGCATGTATAACGCCTCCGTCCCATCTTTTATCTCTCCACGGGGGGGGGGGAACCACAATCCCACCGAGTATTTTTACACATCCCATCAGCAACACGGCTCTGGGGACTTCTGGAAAAGTGCATCTTTGTCGGCAGCAATTGGTTCAAGCAAAGTCGAAACCCTGCTGCTGATGAGCCAGTGAAAGTCGAATCCAGTCTCCTGCCTATAAACATCTGGGCAGTTTTTCACCAGCCAATTGCTTCAAGCAAAGTCTGACTCTGCTGCTGCTGATGAGCCAGTGAAAGTCGAATCCAGTCTCCTGCCTATAAACATCTGGGCAGTTTTTCACCAGCCAATTGCTTCAAGCAAAGTCGGACTCTGCTGCTGCTGATGAGCCAGTGAAAGTCGAAACCGGTCCAGAGTTTGTACTTGTGTATTTATTTATCCCTTAGTGGCGAGTGGGACGCGTGATTTATACGTTACATATTTATGCTTTTTAAACTTTACGTGTAAAGAAAGAGATGTGGAGGAGGCATTCATGATGCAAACTATTAACATTCTCCATGACGACGGCTATATATTATTATTATTTTCACAGGTCACTTCCCCAGTGTGTTGAGACACAAACATTCGATTCAGTGGTGGCTGTAATGCACAAGCGAAGCAAATGCAAAGCGCCCTCCCAGTCCCAAGTATCTCAAGAGGATTGGGTGGGGGGGAGGATTCATGATTTTAAAATTATAATTAGGGGGCGATATCAAATTACAGTAAATGAACTGTCCGAATTAACATAACGCCAATTTGTGTCTCGTATATAATCTATCTGCCTCGTCACTACATTGATATCGCTTTTGTCGACATCTCTCCGATCTGTCTTACCCAATGCTGTCTCATCTCACTGCGTCTGTCCCATCTGTCTCGTCTCACTGCGTCTGTCCCATCTGTCTCACCTGTGTCCCATCTGTGTCTCATCTGTGTCTCATCTCACTGCGTCTGTCCCATCTGTGTCTCGTCTCACTGCGTCTGTCCCATCTGTGTCTCATCTGTGTTATCTCACTGTGTCTGTCCCATCTGTGTCTCATCTCACTGCGTCTGTCCCATCTGTGTCTCACCTGTGTCCCATCTGTGTCTCATCTGTGTCTCATCTCACTGCGTCTGTCCCATGTGTCTCATCTGTGTCCCATCTCACTGCGTCTGTCCCATCTGTGTCTCATCTGTGTCTCACCTGTGTCCCATCTGTGTCCCGTCTCACTGCGTCTGTCCCATCTGTGTCTCATCTGTGTCTCACCTGTGTCCCATCTGTGTCCCGTCTCACTGCGTCTGTCCCATCTGTGTCTCATCTGTGTCTCACCTGTGTCCCATCTGTGTCCCGTCTCACTGCGTCTGTCCCATCTGTGTCCCGTCTCACTGCGTCTGTCCCATCTGTGTCTCATCTCACTGCGTCTGTCCCATCTGTGTCTCACCTGTGTCCCATCTGTGTCTCATCTGTGTCTCATCTCACTGCGTCCCTATCATCTCTCTCTCATCTGCGTCTCCCTCCTCGCTACACCCCCTGCCCGCTTCGTCGATCCCACCCCGGCCCATCCCCGCCCCAACAGCGCGCCAGCCGCCGCGGCAACCACCGCCACCACTGAATTCGCTTCAAGTAACCACCGCAAGCATCGGCACGCAGCCAGGGGGTTTACACACACACACACACAAGGCGTCAGTGCAAGCAAAGCCAAGTCAGTGCTGCCCGGTCCACGGGGGGGTGGTGGGGGGTGCTGATCACCTTCACCCCCCCCCCCCCCAAAAAAAAAGCGCGGGGCCCAGGACGGACGGACGGACGGTCGGTCGCCTCGTCTCTCCTCCCGTACCGCTACGGACGGCTGTGACTCTCCAGTATCCACCCCGCCCCATGCCCCAACATCGCAAGCACGCGGTGCACAACAGCAAACAGCACATAGCAGAGTTAACAGCCGACATTGTTCGTTATAAAAGTGTCGTCGGGTTAGGGGTTGAGATCGCGCGAATGTAAAATGTGAAATGTGTCGTAACCCCCCCCCTCCCCACCCCTACCACCACCCGACGCGGGCCCACAGGTAATGCGCGCCACGTTTGCGATCAGAACGTGCGCGGCTTCTTTTTGGTTCTGGCCAAACCGTCGGACAAAGGCGGCGGCGGGGGGGGGGAGGGGGGGTCACCGCGCCATCGCGCGGCGTCTCTCGGACGCGCTTCTGCGGCCGTCTGGAACGCTCTCTCCCTTTGCGATATACCAGGAAGCCACTTGGGGAGCTGTGCAGTGCACTTTTAAATCCTCATCATCGTCGTCCACATTGACAAACTCGTTTCTTTCGAAACTACTTCATGCGCGTTGAGTCTGTCCCTCCTCCCTCTCCCACCCCCTCCGATAAAGCCACCCACGGTTAGCTACGTACGGTACCAAAGAAGTTTCAACGCCGCACATAGACAGTAGGGGACACGCGTGCCCGGCGGTGGGTTTGTGCGCGTGGAGCACAAACTGGCAACGGTGACAACGCCGAAACGTCGTCGACTCGAATTGTAAAACGTTGTTCAGGGAGGGTCTGCCCACCCAACACACAAACCGCTGTGGTGCTGAGGTAGTCACGGTGATTGAGGACACCTCCTATTCACATGTACAGCCTTGCTGATTGGCTGTGTCGGGTGTCTGTTGAACTTCGCTATGGTAGCCAGATGTTAACTACCTCGCCTGGTACACAGGAGGTCGTGGGTTCGATCCCAACCCTGACGACGCCTGCTGCTGCTGTATATTTGGAGTTTACGTGTCTCTCTCTCATCATCATCATCATCACGGTGGCTAGGAGATGTTGACTACCTCGCCCGGTGTACAGGAGGTCGTGGGTTCGATCCCAACCCTGACGATGCCTGCTGCTGCTGCTGTATATTTGAAGTTTGCGTGGTCGCGTGGACTTTTCGCCGGGTCCTCCGGGTTTTTTCCCCCATCCACGTTGAGAATCCACTACCACGCGTGTTCCGAGTTATTTGGCCGCTGATATAACTGGCCACGTGATGATGACGATGATAAGTTCACTTCGTTGAGGCTATCATTTGCGATGGCCAGGGTCCCACTGAGCTACACAGCTCAGTGGGACCTGACACCCTGGCAAAATAATAAATAAAAACATTCTTAGCTCTTTCCCTTCAACGTGACTTTACCGAAAGAGCTAAGAATATGAATGACTGCAGTCACGAAAGCTTTAAATAAAAAAAAAACATTGTTTATAATTTCTTTCGCACCGTACGTAGCCAACCGCGCTCATCGGAGGTGCTGTGTGGAGGAGGTGGTGGTCGTGGGGGTGACGACACATTCAAACATCATCATTAAGCACACAGCGGCAGCAGCTATCAGCAGCTGCTGCTAATAGCAGCTGCTATCAGCAGCAGCAGCAGCTGCTATCAGCAGCATCTGCTATCAGCAGCAGCTGCTATCAGCAGCAGCTGCTATCAGCAGCAGCAGCCAGCAGCAGCAGCCAGCAGCAGCAGCTGCAGCCAGCAGCAGCTGCAGCCAGCAGCAGCTGCAGCCAGCAGCAGCTGCTATCAGCAGCAGCTGCTATCAGCAGCAGCTGCTATCAGCAGCAGCTGCTATCAGCAGCAGCTGCTATCAGCAGCAGCTGCTATCAGCAGCAGCTGCTATCAGCAGCAGCAGCTATCAGCAGCAGCAGCTATCAGCAGCAGCTATCAGCAGCAGCTATCAGCAGCAGCAGCTATCAGCAGCAGCTATCAGCAGCAGCTATCAGCAGCAGCAGCTATCAGCAGCAGCTATCAGCAGCAGCTATCAGCAGCAGCAGCAGCTATCAGCAGCAGCAGCAGCAGCTATCAGCAGCAGCAGCTATCAGCAGCAGCTATCAGCAGCAGCAGCAGCTATCAGCAGCAGCAGCTATCAGCAGCAGCAGCAGCAATCAGCAGCAGCTATCAGCAGCAATCAGCAGCAGCTATCAGCAGCAATCAGCAGCAGCTATCAGCAGCAATCAGCAGCAGCTATCAGCAGCAATCAGCAGCAGCTATCAGCAGCAGCAGCAGCTATCAGCAGCAGCAGCAGCTATCAGCAGCAGCTATCAGCAGCAGCAGCAGCTATCAGCAGCAGCAGCAGCTATCAGCAGCAGCAGCAGCTATCAGCAGCAGCAGCAGCTATCAGCAGCAGCAGCAGCTATCAGCAGCAGCAGCAGCTATCAGCATCAGCAGCTAACTGCAGCTATCAGCAGCTATCAGCAGCAGCAGCAGCTATCATCAGCAGCAGCAGCTATCATCAGCAGCAGCAGCTATCATCAGCAGCAGCAGCAGCTATCAGCAGCAGCAGCTATCAGCAGCAGCAGCTATCAGCAGCTATAGCTATCAGCAGCTATAGCTATCAGCAGCTATAGCTATCAGCAGCTATAGCTATCAGCAGCTATAGCTATCAGCAGCTATAGCTATCAGCAGCTATAGCTATCAGCAGCTATAGCTATCAGCAGCTATAGCTATCAGCAGCTATAGCTATCAGCAGCTATAGCTATCAGCAGCTATAGCTATCAGCAGCTATAGCTATCAGCAGCTATAGCTATCAGCAGCTATAGCTATCAGCAGCTATAGCTATCAGCAGCTATAGCTATCAGCAGCTATAGCTATCAGCAGCTATAGCTATCAGCAGCTATAGCTATCAGCAGCTATAGCTATCAGCAGCTATAGCTATCAGCAGCTATAGCTATCAGCAGCTATAGCTATCAGCAGCTATAGCTATCAGCAGCTATAGCTATCAGCAGCTATAGCTATCAGCAGCTATAGCTATCAGCAGCTATAGCTATCAGCAGCTATAGCTATCAGCAGCTATAGCTATCAGCAGCTATAGCTATCAGCAGCTATAGCTATCAGCAGGTGCAGCAGCAATCAGCAGCAACAGTAGCTATAGCTATCAGCAGCTATAGCTATCAGCAGCAACAGCAGCTATCAGCAGCTATAGCTATCAGCAGCAACAGCAGCTATCAGCAGCTATAGCTATCAGCACCCACCTCCCTTTCACCCTCGAACCTCTGTCGCACCCAGCAAATAATATTTTATACCCCGGGGTGGGGGGAGCCTAAACCGTCGAAACTATAAGTCGATCGGACAGGTCATGCACACATGTAGTGGGGTAAAGTGTGGTTAAAGTGTGGTGGTGGTGGGGTAAAGTGTGGTTAAAGTGTGGTGGTGGGGTAAAGTGTGGTTAAAGTGTCGTGGTGGTGGTGGTGGGGTAAAGTGTGGTGGTGGTGGTGGGGTAAAGTGTGGTGGTGGTGGTGGTGGGGTAAAGTGTGGTGGTGGTGGTGGTGTAAAGTGTGGTGGTGGTGGTGGTGGGGTAAAGTGTGGTGGTGTGGTAAAGTGTGGTTAAAGTGTGGTGGTGGGGTAAAGTGTGGTTAAAGTGTGGTGGTGGGGTAAAGTGTGGTGGTGGTGTAGTGTGGTAAAGTGTGGTTAAAGTGTGGTGGTGGGGTAAAGTGTGGTTAAAGTGTGGTGGTGAGAGACTGCCACCTCACTGGAGAGGCTCAGGCGGGGCACCGCGGTCAGCTGGGCCAGCCCCCCCAGCCCCCCCCAGCCCCCAGGCCCCCCGGCCCCCCAGCCCCCCAGCCTCCCCCTGCTGCCCACCGCTTCACATCGCCCCAAAGACAAAGACCCCCCCCCCCCCACTATTTTGGGTATCCCCGCCCACTTTTCCAGTAACCCCCCGCCCACTTCGGGTAATCACGCCCATTATTTGGGTTGCCCACGCCCATTGCCAAGTCAACCCCGCCCATTTTCTCAGGCAACCCCCGCCCACTACCAAGTTAGCCCCGCCCCGCAACCGCTGCAGCATCGCAAAACAAAACCTGAGGCTGCCAGAGAAATGGCGTCACCCTCGGGCCCGAAGGCGACCCAGGGGCCTTCGTGCTCGGCGTCGTCCCCCGGCCGACGATCCGGCAATCGCACGGCGGTTCGAACGCCGCCGCCGCCGCCTAGAACAACAGTTGACGTATTCGCAACGTGCGGACCCCCCCGGACCCCCCCGGACCCCCCCGGACCCCCCGACCCGGACGGACGGACAAACCCGACGGGGACGGGACGTCTCCAACCGCGCGAGCCGCCAGCGTCGTCTTGTAACCGTTGCCGTCGGGAGGACGTGCACGCGCGCACGCACGCACCAAGGCGCTCGAACGCGTCCCGCCTTCTAACACCGTGTCCGACGTTTCGGGGGAAAATGGCCCTTCTTCATAGCACACAAATAGGGCAGTTGCAGAGACCTGCGAATTATGACGAGGTCGTAGAAACCGTCGCGACGCAGATTTCAAAGAGGAAAAACGTCGCCGACGCGGCGGGGCGGGGGGGAAAAAAATAAAAAAACATTTGCCGAGGCAAGGGGCTAATTTGCTTGGCGTAAATTATTGCGCTCCGGTTCAACGAGCGACGTCTATCAGCCGATGGGTGATAACCCCCCGCAACCGAGACGGAGAGTTGTGCGACTTTCGTTTTTAAATAAACCAAGGAACAAGACGGACAGAAGCAAGCAACCGTTTGCGTGCGAACACAGCGGCGGAGGACACGCTCCCGGTTTCTTGGAATGGGAGGAAAATAATTACAGACGGTCCGATTTATCCCGATATGACGACGTCGCGTGCGACGGGAGGACGTCACAGGAAATGCGGGCGACGGGAAATGACGTCACAGAACAACGTGGTCAACAGGAAATGACGTCACTATCGCACGCTTCCCGCCAAAGGTGGTGATGTCACATGGATGGGGCAGGGGGGGGGGGTGGTGCTTGTGACGTCATTTTTTGTTAACTTCAAGGCGCGTTAAATAATTTGCGCTGTGTAAACGATCCGGGGTAATCCTGGGGAGAAAAAAAATATATATATCCAAGAATTCGAAAGAAAAAAAAACCGTGATTGATTTCCATCTAATCCCTCATCACGTGAGCACATTTAAATTTCCCTTTCAACATCAACGTCGCCGCTTTTCATCGTCGTAGTGAAATAAATATGCATCCGAAAAAAAACAGAAATGCTTCACGCGGAGAATGTACAACCCCATGCGGTCCCCGTTATAACAGCGACAACATCAACATCAGCAACGAGCGAGCAGGCGAGATATACAAACGGATTCCTTGCATCCCCTTTTAACGCGCGACGTTGATTCTAAGAGACAGAGTATTTTGGGGCTGCTGTAAATGTCCACGTGATGATGATGATTAAGCCGGTATCGTTTGCGACAGCCAGGCTTGCTTCTGGAAAAGAGCGCCGTAGCTCAGTCGGGTGGAGGCCTTACCTTGTCAAATTAAAAAAAAAAGTTTCAAATAGCTTTAGTTTCAAGTAGTTGCTTCGCGAAATCCGCAACAGTGCCCGCCGGCGTGGTGAAGTATGGTCAAACAATATGCCCGCCCCCCCCGCCCACGCTCCCCCCACTCCCCCGGAGGGAGGCCTTCATCCAACAGGGGGATTGACAACGGGCTGTAAATGATCACCGTTGTCATTCTGATTGGTGGGGGTGCAGGCACATACGGGGAGTCCTCGAGTTACAAACACAATTTGTTGCAGAGACCCGTTCGTAAGTCGGAACGCAACAATGCACCGCATTTAAATGCCCGCACAGTCGGTGTCATCGTGTTACGGTTCAACAAAAAAGGGACTCAATCTCGCGGAGGAACGCTCCTCTGAGCAAAATAGTCCCGCGGTTCAGCATTCAAGTTTTTGTTCCTGTCACGGAAGCCGGTTCGTAAGTACGGGCGTTCGTAAGTATGGGCATTCGTAAGTACGGGAATTCGTAAGTACGGGCGTTCGTAAGTACGGGCGTTCGTAAGTAAGGGCGTTCGTAAAGTACGGTCGTTCGTAAGTACGGGCGTTCATAAGTAAGGGCGTTCGTAAGTACGGGCGTTCGTAAGTACGGTCGTTCGTAAGTAAGGGCGTTCGTAAGTACGGGCGTTCGTAAGTACGGTCGTTCGTAAGTACGGGCGTTCGTAAGTACGGGCGTTCGTAAGTCGAGGACCACCTGTGTACACAAATAAGACGATGCAACGTCACGGGCAATGTACAGGGACGCGCGCCTCCTTCGTGAACGGCGCGGTCGAAATTAACCGAGGGCATCTCGGCGGATCTCCATTGCCCCCATATCGTTCGCGGCGAATCACGTTGGCGATTCTATGCGTGTGTGCGCTTGAGTATGTGTGTGTATGTGTGGGGGGGGTGGTAGTGCAGCGGTTAGCGTGCCGTGCTACGAACCCGGCGACCCGAGTTCGATTTCCGCTCACGGCCACCAGTGACGCCTATCTGAACCGGTCATGGGCCTCCCCCAAGGTCGACTCAGCCTCAAATGAGCACCTGGGTGCGGTGTGTAAAATCATTGCCGGTGGGGAGACAAAGGCGTCCAAGCGTGGTGCTGGCCACCCACCCCCTCGTGTGCCGTGCCGTGCCGGCCTTCAAAGGTGCTCGCTGACAGCACTCGCCCCAACAGTCTGTTCACACTATACGGGAGATCTTTGTCTGTACGTGTGTTGAACTTCTTTCGCACAGTATGCAGCCAACCGTGCTAATCGGCGCTATGAAGAAGGCCCATTGCCCGAAACGTTGTTCGAAATTCATTTGTCTTCAGAGCGGACCATGCGCGCAGCTCTGCACCGAATGAAAACCTTCCAACATTTTTGGGTAAATATATATAAACAATTACAACCGCAAATCGCTCCATTGGGGATGACGCACACACACACACACAGAGTAGCAGCAATCATCCTCCACAACGAGCTGGCAGACAGCTGCCATCGGGGGTGCCCCTAGGCTAGACCACAGCGCAGCGATCATTGTCTCCTCTGACAAACGCACAGGGACAGCTGCCACCGGGGGTGCCCCTGGGGCTAGACCACACAGCAGCAGGGATTCAACTCCTATCCTGGCCTCTGGAGTTCTGAGCAGGCCAAACAAAATCAACTCGACCCAGGGAGACAATGCACCCCACCTCGATGTATCTCGATGCGTCTCTGTGCGTGTCGTTTTGGTGATCCAGGTGCCTCTTGCAAACGAGACCGCCCACCCTCCCCCCCACCCAACCCGGTAGATCGTGGGGGTCTCTCTCGGACTCCCTCCGCCGAGGGGTCTTCTTCTACTTCTCCTGCCGGCAGTGGCCCGAGTGAGAGATCTCGTCCGCTACGTCATGGCCGCGTTTTGGACAATTCGTTTGTTCGTAGATTTACCTTCGACGTCGTCATCGTTGTCGTCATCGTCGTCGTCAGCGTCGTCGTCGTCATCGTCGTTTTTGTCAATGTTATCGTCAACATCGTCGTCAACATCGTCGTCGTCAACGTCACCGTCAACATCGTCGTCGTCAACATCATCGTCACCAACATCGTCGTCGTTAACATCGTCATCGTCGTTAACATCGTCATCGTCGTCATCATCCTCGTCGTCATCATCGTCGTCAACTTAGTCGTCAACATCGTCGTCATCGTCAACATTGTCGTTATCAACATCGTCGTCAACATCGTCGTCAACATCGTCATCAACATCGTCATCAACATCATCGTCAACATCGTCAACATCGTCAACATCGTCGTCATCGTCAACATTGTCGTCATCAACATCATCATCAACATCGTCGTCAACATCGTCGTCATTTCTCAACAACATTTCGACCGGAGGTCTCGCGGATGAACGGTCGGTGAGGAAGACCACTCTGCTTGAGAGCTCGCCTATAGACTCCGGGCTCCTCTCTAGTAGCTGTGTCACCACCACCGCCACCACCATCATCATCATCGATATCATCACCAGTGCTCGAATTCATCATCACCATTATCAGTACAGTACCTGAATCATCATCATCATAATCATCGCCACTGTTTAACACGCAGGGCTTTCGCGACCAATACATTATTAATAGTCAAGGCGTTTAGGGTTAGATCCAGCATCCTCGGGCGATTTGCCGGAATATTGAAGCAATCCGCCTGCTTCCAGGTCTGACATAGAGCAAGATGACGTCATCACTGAACCCGTCACGTGCAGAGGTCAGAGGCGGAGGAGGGAGGGGGTAATTACGAGCGAAACGTCGTACTACTCGCACTGCAAATGTTGTGGATTTACTCTCCATCACACCGGTGGGCTGAAGTAGTACACTACACTATACACCAAGGCCCTAATTATTATATATATTGAATATTGGGGGGGGGAGGTATATCCCCCCCCAATATTCAAATATGCTCAAAATGTCCCCCCCCCCCCAACATATTTCTTTAAACAATATTAAAAAAAAACTAAAATTGCCATGCTATGCAAATAAAATAAAAAATTTTGCTAAAACTTGGCCGTAATATCGGGTCTTGCCTTCACGTAACAATGCATAGGTTTCTGTTTATGCGATTGTGGTTATGGTAGTGGTACTTTATTAATCCCTAATCTCTGCCATTACGTGGCAATGAAACAAAAAAATAAACAGAGCAATGTAAATACAATAACACTGTTAGACATTATTGCTAAAAATAAATAAAAAGTCCATCCTAAGCGAAAGTGCAATTTTTTTTTTAAAATATATTTTAGGCAGGAAATTCGTTTTAAAATTTATATTTTTTTCTGGGGGGGGGGGGGGGCGGAGGAGGGCTAGACCTCCTGGAAGTTTTGGTCCCCCCAATGTTGACTCCGTGGCTAAGGCCTTGCTATACACTACACTCTACTAGTAACTCACTGGGCATCTTGTTTACGTGACAAACCCCTTGCCAATTGGCTGCGTCGGGTGGCCTAGGGGTCACGGGTGGCCTAGGGGTCACGGGTGGCCTAGGGGTCACGGGTGGCCTAGGGGTCACGGGTGGCCTAGGGGTCACGGGTGGCCTAGGGGTCACGGCGGTCTAACCCGGATTGTCGTAACCCGTCACAACTGCCCACCGTCATCGCCACCACCGCCACCACCACCACCACCACCGTCATCGCCACCACCACCACCACCACCACAGTCGTCGTTGTCCATCCATGATCAGCATCACAATCATCTTCACCGTCCGTCATCACCGGCAGCGTGATGGCGGCGGTGCCGACGATGGTGCTGATAGCGGTGCCGACGGTGGTGACTGCAACGTCGTCGCTAACGGCGACAGACGTAATAGCGACGACGGCGGCGACGAGGTTTCGCACTTTGAGAGTTTTCACCAACAGGAAACGCTTTCAACGCACGAGCGACGCACGCACGCACGGTGAGAAAGTGGCTCCGGAATGTCGCGTGTGCCCGGCACTAAGTGTACACGTGTCTGCGCGTGTACACGTGTCTGCGCGTGTACGAGCGTGTGTGTACACGTGTCTGCGCGTGTACACGTGTCTGCGCGTGTACACGTGTCTGCGCGTGTACACGTGTCTGCGCGTGTACACGTGTCTGCGCGTGTACACGTGTCTGCGCGTGTACGAGCGTGTGTGTACACGTGTCTGCGTGTACACGTGTCTGCGCGTGTACACGTTTCTGCGCGTGTACGAGCGTGTGTGTACACGTTTCTGCGCGTGTACGAGCGTGTGTGTACACGTGTCTGCGTGTACGAGCGTGTGTGTATGCGCGTGTCCGCGCGTGTACGCGTGTCTGCGTGTACGAGCGTGTGTGTATGCGCGTGTCCGCGCGTGTACACGTGTCTGCGCGTGTACACGTGTCCGCGCGTGTACACGTGTCCGCGCGTGTACACGTGTCCGCGCGTGTACACGTGTCCGCGCGTGTACACGTGTCTGCACGTGTACACGCGCAGACACGTGTACACGTGTCTGCGCGTGTACACGTGTCTGCGCGTGTACACGTGTCCGCGCGTGTACACGTGTCTGCGCGTGCATCACTTGGCGGCGTACATGCGCTCGATGTCGTGCTGGTAGTGCGTGCGAAGTGCCACGCGCTTCAGCTTGAAGGCGTCCGTCACCAGCCCGGTCTCGGGCGTCCACGCCTCGGCACTCAGACGGACCTTGCGCGGGACTTCAAAGCGCTCCAGGTTCACTGCTCACAAGCATGGGGGGGGCAGGGGGGGGCAGGGGGGGCAGGGGGGGGGGGGCAGGGGGGGGGGCAGGGGGGGGGGGCAGGGGGGGTGAACGCACGGAGGGAGGGGGGTGAACGCACGGAGGGAGGGGGGTGAACACACGGAGGGAGGGGGGTGAACGCACGGAGGGAGGGGGGTGAACGCACGGAGGGAGGGGGGTGAACGCACGGAGGGAGGGGGGTGAACGCACGGAGGGAGGGGGGTGAACACACGGAGGGAGGGGGGTGAACGCACGGAGGGAGGGGGGTGAACACACGGAGGGAGGGGGGTGAACACACGGAGGGAGGGGGGTGAACACACGGAGGGAGGGGGGTGAACGCACGGAGGGAGGGGGGTGAACACACGGAGGGAGGGGGGTGAACACACGGAGGGAGGGGGGTGAACACACGGAGGGAGGGGGGTGAACACACGGAGGGAGGGGGGTGAACACACGGAGGGAGGGGGGTGAACACACGGAGGGAGGGGGGTGAACACAACTCACATTGCACCACGGCTCGTGACTTCAGCTCCGTCCATACCATTTTGGTAAACGGCGGATTTTGTGAATTCGAAATATTGAAAATCTCAAACTTGCGCCGTGTGATGGGTGGGTGGTGTGGTGGGTGCAGTGGTGTGACGGTCGGTGCAGCGGTATGACGATGATGATTATGGTGGGTGCAGTGGTGTGATGACGGTGGAAGCAGTGGTGTGATGACGGTGGGTGGAGTGGTGTGATTATGGTGGGTGGAGTGGTGTGATGATGGTCGGTGGAGTGGTGTGATGACAGTGGATGCAGTGGTGTGACGGTCGGTGCAGTGGTATGACGATGATGATTATGGTGGGTGCAGTGGTGTGATGACGGTGGAAGCAGTGGTGTGATGATGGTGGGTGGAGTGGTGTGATGACGGTGGGTGGAGTGGTGTGATGATGGTGGATGCAGTGGTGTGATTATGGTGGATGCAGTGGTGTGATGGTGGATGCAGTGGTGTGATGACGGTGGATGCAGTGGTGTGATGGTGGATGCAGTGGTGTGATGACGGTGGGTGGAGTGGTGTGATGACGGTGGGTGGAGTGGTGTGATGACGGTGGATGCAGTGGTGTGACGGTGGATGCAGTGGTGTGATTATGGTGGATGCAGTGGTGTGATGATGGTCGGTGGAGTGGTTGTGATGACGGTGGATGCAGTGGTGTGATGGTTGGTGCAGTGGCATGACGATGATGATGATGACGATGATGATGACGATGATGATGACGATGGTGATGATGGTGGTGGTGGGCGGGTGGCGGCAGCGCGGCCCCCACCTTTGACGGCCATGTCGCGGATTTCCTGCAGGACCTCGGCCTCCAGCAGGGGGCTGTTGCACACCTCCTCCCAGGAGCCACACACGCCCTTCCGGCCCGCCAGCTGCGTCAGGCGCACGCGGTTGGGCACCACCAGGCCGATGACGTACGCCTGCTCGCTACCTCGCACAACGGACCACGGAGAGAGAGGGAGAGAGAGATGGGCACCACCGCCGGCATCACCACCACCGGGCACCACCGCCCGGCATCACCGCCCGGCACCACCAGGCGGATGACGTACGCCTGCTCGCTACCTCGCACAACGGACCACGGAGAGAGAGGGAGAGAGAGATGGGCACCACCGCCGGCATCACCGCCGGCATCACCGCCGGCATCACCACCACCGGGCACCACCGCCGGGCACCACCGCCCGGCACCACCGCCCAGCACCACCGCCGGCATCACCGCCGGGCACCACCGTCGGCATCACTGCCAGCACCACCGCCGGCACCACCAGGCGGATGACGTACGCCTACTTGCGGCGCCGCTAACGGCCCACGGATGGAGAGAGAGAGAGAGAGGGGCACCGGCACGGTCATGCCCGGCGCCGGGACGCCGCCGCCGCCGCCGCCGGCTGCCGCCGCCAAAGATCCTCCGCAGTAGCCGTAACGGACTAGTCGGGGTCAAGTTCTGTTGGCGAGTAGCAGCGCCCGTTAAGGCCGGCACCGTGGCACACGAGGGGGTGGGTTTGCCAGCACCACGCCTCCTCGGCCTTTGTCTCCCCGGTCGCGATGTTTTTTTACGATCAGCACCAGATACTCGTTTGGAGGCCGAGTCGACCTAGGGGAGGCCCGGGACCAGTTGAGACATTCGTGACTTGGGTGTTCGTGGCCGTGAACGGGAACGGAACTCGGGCCGCCGGGTTCGTAGCGCAGCGCATTAACCACCACTCGCCAACGGTGGTGCAGCAGTACAGTGGTAGTGGTGGTGGAGCGGTAGTGGTGGTGGAGCGGTAGTGGTGGTGGAGCGGTAGTGAGGGTGGTGGAGTGGTGAGGGTGGTGCAGCGGTAGTGGTGGTGGTGCAGTAGTGGTGGTGGAGCGGTAGTGGTGGTGGAGTGGTAGTGGTGGTGGAGTGGTAGTGGTGGTGGAGTGGTAGTGAGGTTGGAGCGGTAGTGAGGGTGGAGCGGTAGTGGTGGTGGAGTGGTAGTGGTGGTGGAGCGGTAGTGGTGGTGGAGTGGTAGTGGTGGTGGAGTGGTAGTGAGGGTGGAGCGGTAGTGGTGGTGGAGCGGTAGTGGTGGTGGAGCGGTAGTGGTGGTGGAGCGGTAGTGGTGGTGGAGTGGTGATGGTGGTGGAGCGGTAGTGGTGGTGGAGTAGTGGTGGTGGTGCGGTAGTGGTGGGGGTGGAGCGGTAGTGGTGGTGGAGTGGTAGTGGTGGTGGAGCGGTAGTGGTGGTGGAGTAGTGGTGGTGGTGCGGTAGCGGTGGTGGTGGAGCGGTTGAGCGGTGGTAGCGGTGGTGGTGGTGTGGTGGTGGTGGAGTGGTAGTGGTGGTGGAGCGGTAGTGGTGGTGGAGTAGTGGTGGTGGTGCGGTAGCGGTGGTGGTGGAGCGGTTGAGCGGTGGTAGCGGTGGAGTGGTGGTGGAGTGGTGGTAGCGGTGGTAGCGGTGGTGGTGGTGTGGTGGTGGTGTGGTGGTGGTGTGGTGGTGGTGTGGTGGTGGTGTGGTGGTGTGGTGGTGGTGGTGGTGGTGGTCACGGTGTGGTAGCCCCCCCACCTATTGGCGTAGGCACAGATGTTGTCCACCAGGGGACAGTTCTTCAGCGCCGACTCCACCTTGCCCAGCGCCACGTACTCGCCTGCCTGTAGCTTCACCAGGTCCTTCTTGCGGTCTGAGTCCACCACACGCATGTCACACGCATGTCACACGCATGTCACACGCATGTCACACGCGTGCTACGCGCACGTCACACGCAGACGCGCGTTACACGTGTGGCACATGGACACACGCGTCGACACGTTACACACGTGTGACACGCGTTACACGTGTCACACGTGTGTAACGTGTCACACGTTACACACGTGTGTAACGTGTGACACGCGTTACACGTTACACACGTGTCACACGTGTCACACGTGTCACACGTGTGACACGTGTGACACGTTACACACGTGTCACACGTGTCACACGTGTGTAACGTGTCACACGTGTGACACGTGTGACACGTTACACACGTGTCACACGTGTCACACGCGTGTCACACGTGTCACACGTGTGACACGTGTGACACGTGTGACACGTTACACACGTGTCACACGTGTCACACGTGTCACACGTGTGACACGTTACACACGTGTCACACGTGTCACACGCGTGTCACACGCGTGTGTCACACGCGTGTGACACGCGCGCTGCATGGTGAAGGAGGCGATGGCGAGGGTGGATCACGTCCCCTGTTGTGGCTCCACGCGCTACATGGGGGAGGGGGTGGTAGTGACGATGGTGGTGGTAGTGACGATGGTGGTGGTAGTGACGATGGTGGTGGTAGTGACGATGGTGGTGGTAGTGACGATGGTGAAGGTGGTGGTAGTGACGATGTTGAAGGCGGCGGTAGTGACGATGGTGGTGGTAGTGACTATGGCGGTGGTAGTGACGATGTTGAAGGTGGCGGCAGTGACGACGGTGATGGAGGTGGTGGCGACGGTGGTGGTGGAGGTGGTAGTGACGATGGTGGTGGTAGTGACGACGGTGATGGAGGTGGTGGCGACGGTGACCTCACCGATGACCTGCAGGCACCCGTCTGGGTGCATCTGACCGATGTCGCCGGTGCAGAACCAGCGCTGGCCGCTCGCCGGCTCGGTGAAGAAGTCTTCGGCGGTGCGGCGCTCGTCCCGGTAGTAACCCACGGCAACGTTGCCTCCTCCCACCAGGATCTCTCCCCGCGGGTATGGCCGGTCGGTCACACGGTACCCTCCTAGAGCCACGGGGGAGACGGGGGGGGGAGGGGAGAGGAGGTGATGGTGGTGGTGATGGTGGTGGTGATGGTGGAGTGTGATGGTGGTGGTGGTGTTGGTGGTGGTGATGGTGGAGTGTGATGGTGGTGTTGGTGATGGTGTAGGTGATGGTGGAGGTGATGGTGGAGGTGATGGTGGTGGTGTAGGTGGTGGTGTAGGTGATGGTGGAGGTGATGGTGGAGGTGATGGTGGAGGTGATGGTGGAGGTGTAGGTGATGGTGTAGGTGATGGTGGTGGTGTAGGTGATGGTGTAGGTGATGGTGGAGGTGATGGTGGAGGTGATGGTGGAGGTGAAGGTGGAGGTGATGGTGGTGGTGTAGGTGATGGTGTAGGTGATGGTGGAGGTGATGGTGGTGGAGGTGATGGTGGAGGTGATGGTGGAGGTGAAGGTGGAGGTGATGGTGGTGGTGTAGGTGATGGTGTAGGTGATGGTGGAGGTGATGGTGGTGGAGGTGATGGTGGAGGTGATGGTGGAAGTGGTGATGGTGGAGTGTGATGGCGGTGGAGGTGACGGTGGAGGTGATGGTGGTGGAGGTGATGGTGGTGGTGCAGGTGATGGTGGTGATGGTGATGGTGGTGGAGGTGATGTGATGGTGCAGGTGATGGTGGTGGAGGTGACGGTGTTCCCTCACCCTCTTCCCAGTCTCTGAGTTTGATCTCACAGCAGCTGAGTGGCGCTCCCACACGGCACGTACTGAAATCACACACTGAGCATACACATACAGTACCATCACACACACAGTACCATCACACACACACACACAGTACCATCACATACACACAGTACCATCACACACACACAGTACCATCACACACACACAGTACCATCACACACACTGAGCACACACACACAGAGTACCATCATACACACAGTACCATCACACACACACACAGTACCATCACACACACACACACACAGTACCATCACACACACACAGTACCATCACACACACACAGTACCATCACACACACAAAGATCCCCTGTATAGCCTTAACAGACTGTAGGGGCAAGTGCTGCTAGCGAGCAGCACCTGTGAAGGATGGCACGGTACACGAGGGGGTGGGTGGCCAGCACCACGCCCGGCCGCCTTTGTCTCCCCAGTGGCGATGTTTACTACACACCGCAACAGGTACTCATTTGAGGCTGAGTCGACCTAGGGGAGGCCCAGGACCGGTTCAGATAATCGTCACTGGTGTTGGCCGTGAGCAGGAATCGAACTCAGATTCGTAGTGCAGCATAGCGCTAACCGCTGCACCACCGCTCCCCACAACAAAATCTCGAACGCAATCTCGACCGCAGTCTCGACCGCGATCTCGACAGCGATCTCGACCGCAATCACGACCGCGATCACGACCACGATCTCGACCGCGATCTCGACCGCGATGTCGACCGCGATCTCGACCGCGATCTCGAGATTGCGATCTCGACCGCGATCTCGACCGCGATCTCGACGGCGATCTCAACCGCGATCTCGACCCGATCTCGACCGCGATCTCGACCGCAATCTCGACCGCGATCTCGACCGCAATCTCGACCGCAATCTCGACACAATCTCGACGGTGATCTCGACGGCGATCTCGACCGAAATCTCGACGGCGATCTCGACGGCGATCTCGACCGCAATCTCGACCGCAATCTCGACCGCAATCTCGACCGCAATCTCGACCGCAATCTCGAGATTGCGATCTCGAGATTACGATCTCGACCGCGATCTCGACGGCGATCTCGACCGCGATCTCGACCGCCCGGCGGCGGAGCGGCCCACTCCTCACCCTCGGAGATGGTGCCGGCGCCGCACGTCTCAGTGAGGCCGTAGCCCTGCCCGACCGAGCAGCAGAAGCACACGTTCATGAAGCGCTGCGTCTGGGGGGAGAGCGGAGCGCCCCCCGACAGCATCAGCCGCACGCGGCCCCCCAGCGTCGCGCGAACCTTGCGGAACACCAGCCTGGGACGGGGGGAGGGGGGTTAGGGGGTACATGGGGGTGGCAAGGGAGTTAGTCTGCGGGTCTCTGTGCGAGTCTGTGGGTCTCTGTGTGAGTCTGTGGGTCTTTGTTCGAGTCTGTGGGTCTCTGTGCGAGTCTGCGGGTCTCTGTGTGAGTCTGTGGGTCTCTGTGTGAGTCTGTGGGTCTCTGTGCGAGTCTGCGGGTCTCTGTGCGAGTCTGTGGTTCTCTGTGCGTGTCTGTGGGTCTCTGTGCGAGTCTGTGGGACTCCGTGCGAGTCTGTGGGTCTAGGCGAGTCTGTGAGTCTCTGTGCGTGTCTGTGGGTCTCTGTGTGAGTCTGTGGGTCTCTGTGCATGTCTGTGGGTTTCTGCGCGAGTCTGTGGGTCTCTGTGCGAGTCTGTGGGTCTCTGTGCGAGTCTGTGGGTCTCTGCGCAAGTCTGTGGGTCTCTGCGCGTGTCTGCGGGTCTCTGTGCGAGTCTGTGGGTCTCTGTGCAAGTCTGTGGGTCTCTGTGTGTGTCTGTGGCTCTCTGCGCGTGTCTGTGGGTCTCTGTGCGTGTCTGTGGGTCTCTGTGCATGTCTGTGGGTCTCTGTGCGAGTCTGTGGGTCTCTGTGAGAGTTTGCCGTTCTCTGTGCGAGTCTGTGGGTCTCTGTGCGAGTCTGTGGGTCTCTGTGCGAGTCTGTGGGTCTCTGTGTGTGTCTGTGGGTCTCTGTGCGTGTCTGTGGGTCTCTGTGCGAGTCTGTGGGTCTCTGTGTGTGTCTGTGGGTCTCTGTGCGTGTCTGTGGGTCTCTGTGCGTGTCTGTGCGAGTCTGTGGGCCTCTGTGCGAGTCTGTGGGTCTCTGCGAGTCTCTGTGCGTGTCTGTGGGTCTCTGTGTGAGTCTGTGGGTCTCTGTACACGTCTGTGGGTTTCTGCGCGAGTCTGTGGGTCTCTGTGCGAGTCTGTGGGTCTCTGTGCGAGTCTGTGGGTCTCTGTGCGAGTCTGTGGGTCTCTGTGCGAGTCTGTGGGTCTCTGTGCGTGTCTGTGGGGCTCTGTGCGAGTCTGTGGGTCTCTGTGTGTGTCTGTGGGTCTCTGTGCGTGTCTGTGGGTCTCTGTGCGTGTCTGTGGGTCTCTGTGCGAGTCTATGGGTCTCTGTGCGAGTCTGTGGGTCTCTGTGCGAGTCTGTGGGTCTCTGCGAGTCTGTGGGTCTCTGTGCATGTCTGTGGGTCTCTGTGTGAGTCTGTGGGTCTCTGTGCATGTCTGTGGGTTTCTGCGCGAGTCTGTGGGTCTCTGTGCGAGTCTGTGGGTCTCTGTGCGAGTCTGTGGGTCTCTGTGTGAGTCTGTGGGTCTCTGTGTGTGTCTGTGGGTCTCTGTGCGTGTCTGTGGGTCTCTGTGCGTGTCTGTGGGTCTCTGTGCGAGTCTATGGGTCTCGGTGCGAGTCTGTGGGTCTCTGTGCGAGTCTGTGGGTCTCTGTGCGAGTCTCTGTGCGTGTCTGTGGGTCTCTGTGCGAGTCTGTGGGTCTCTGTGCGAGTCTGTGGGTCTCTGTGCGAGTCTGTGGGTCTCTGCGCGTGTCTGTGGGTCTCTGCGCGTGTCTGTGGGGTCACTGTGCGAGTCTGTGGGTCTCTGTGTGAGTCTGCGGATCTCTGTGCGTGTCTGTGGGTCTCTGTGCGTGTCTGTGGGTCTCTGTGCGTGTCTGTGGGTACTCTGTGCGAGTCTGTGGATCTCTGTGCGAGTCTGTGGGTCTCTGTGCGAGTATGTGGGTCTCTGTGCGAGTCTGTGGGTCTCTGTGCGAGTCTGTGTGTTTCTGTGCGAGTCTGTGGGTCTCTGTGCGAGTCTGTGGGTCTCTGCGCGAGTCTCTGGGTCTCTGTACGTGTCTGCGGGTCTCTGTGTGAGTCTGCGGGTCTCTGTGCGAGTATGTGGGTCTCTGTGTGAGTCTGTGGTTCTCTGTGCGAGTCTGTGGGTCTCTGTGCGAGTCTATGGGTCTCTGTGCGAGTCTGTGGGTCTCTGCGCGAGTCTGTGGGTCTTTGTGTGAGTCTGTGGGTGTCTGTGCGAGTCTGTGGGTCTCTGTGTGAGTCTGTGGGTCTCTGTGCGAGTCTGTGGGTCTCTGCGCAAGTCTGCGGGTCTCTGCGAGTCTGTGGGTCTCTGTGCGAGTCTATACGTCTCTGTGTGAGTCTATGGGTCTCTGTGTGAGTCTGTGGGTCTCTATGTGAGTTTGTGGTTCTCTGTGCGTGTCTGTGGGTCTCTGTGCGAGTCTGTGGGTCTCCGTGCGAGTCTGTGGGTCTCTGTGCGAGTCTATGGGTCTCTGTGTGAGTCTGTGGGTCTCTGTGTGAGTCTGTGGTTCTCTGTGCGGGTCTGCTGGTCTCTGTGCGTGTCTGTGGGCCTCTGTGCGAGTATGTGGGGCTCTGTGCGAGTCTGTCGGTCTCTATGCGAGTCTGTGGGGCTCTGTGCGAGTCTGCGGGTCTCTGCGCGAGTCTGCGGGTATCTGCGAGTCTGTGGGTCTCTGTGCGAGTCTGCGGGTCTCTGCGTGAGTCTGTGGGTCTCTGTGCGAGTCTACGGGTCTCTGTGAGTCTATGGGTTATTTGTGTGAGTCTACAGATCTCTGCGAGTCTATGGGTCTTTGTGTGAGTCTGCGTGAGTCTGTCGGTCTCGGTGTAAGTCTATATATCTCGATGTGGGTATATGTGTGAGTCTGTGGGTTTCTGTGCGAGTCTGTGGGTCTCTGTGAGTCTACGTGTATTTGTGCGAGTCTGTGGGTCTTATTGTAAGTCTATATGCCTCGATGTGGGTATATGTGCGAGTCTGTGGGTTTCTGTGTGAGTCTGTAGGTCTCTGTGAGTTTACGTGTTATTGTGTGAGTCTGTGGGTGTCAGTGTAAGTCTATATGTCTCGAGGTGGGTATCTGTGTGAGTGTGGGTCTCTGCATGAGTCTCTGCGAGTATGTGGGTCTGTGTGAGTATGTGGGTCTCTGTGTGAGTCCATCAGTCTGTGTGTGAGTATATGTGTCTCTATGAGTCTATGGGTCTATGGGTCTCTGTGCAAATTTGGGTCTTTGTGCAAGTCTATGGGTCTCTGTGCAAGTTATTGGCCTGTACCAACTCACTAGTTGCAGAGGGGGGCGTTACAGCTCTTGCTGACCTGGTCCAGCTTGTAGTTATCCCCCCACCACCACTCAATCACCCCCCCCCCCCCCCATGGGGCTGTACCAACTCACCAGTTGCAGAGGGGGGCGTCGTAGCCCTTGCTGACCTGGTCCAGCTTGTAGTTATCCTTCCCACTATGGGGCTGTACCAACTCACCAGTTGCAGAGGGGGGCGTCGTAGCCCTTGTTGACCTGGTCCAGCTCGTAGTTATCCCCCTCCCACGGGGCTGTACCAACTCACCAGTTGCAGAGGGGGGCGTCGTAGCCCTTGCTGACCTGGTCCAGCTTGTAGTTATCCCCCCCACCACGACTCAATCATCCCCCCCCATGGGGCTGTACCAACTCACCAGTTGCAGAGGGGGGCGTCGTAGCCCTTGCTGACCTGGTCCAGCTTGTAGTTGTACGCGAGTTTGAAGAGGGCCCGCTGGGGTGCGCTCATGCCCTGCACACGTGCCAGCACCGACTTGTGGATGCGGTCCAGGATCTCCTGGCAGGGCAGACGCAGAGGGCATTGCATTATAATGCGGTGTGTTACAGGGCAGTGTGTTGTAATGAAACGCAATAGTGCATTACCCACCCACTCACCCGTTCGTTAAAACAGCCCGCTCACTCGTTCACTCAATCGCTGAGCCACTCACCCACCCGCCCGCTCACTCGATCACTCGCCCACATGCTCACCCAGCCACTCGTTCACTCACTCACCCGCCCACGCACTCGTTCACTTACCCACCCACTCATTCATTCATTCACCGACCCACTCACTCATCTACCCGCTCACTCATTCGCTCACCCACCCACCCACTCACTCGTTCACTCACCCACCCACCCACTCACTCGTTCGCTCACCCACCCACCCGCCCACCCACTCGTTCACTTACCCACCCACTCATTCATTCATTCACCGACCCACTCACTCATCTACCCGCTCACTCGTTCACTCACCCACCCGCTCACCCACCCACCTCACCCGTTCAATCACTTAACCACTCACTCACCCACCCATTTACTCACCCACCCATTCACTCACCCACCCACCCACTCACTCATTCACTCACCCACCCATTCACTCACTCACCCCCCCGCTCACGCACCCACCTCACCCGTTCAATTACTGAACCACTCACTCACCCACCCATTCACTTACCCATTCACTCACCCACCCACCCATTCACTCAACCACCAAATCACTGGTGCACTCACCCACCTGCTCACTCATTCACTCACCCACACCCCTCACCCACTCGCTCACTCATTCACTCACCCACTCGCTCACTCATTCACTCACCCACGCGCTCACCCACTCGCTCACTCATTCACTCACCCACCCACCCACTCACTCACCCACCCACTCACTCACCCACCCACCCACTCACCGGGACAGCTGCCATGAGTGTGGGTCTCAGGACACTGACATCGCCCTTGCTTCCCTTCTTAATCTTGCTCGACTGTGACACAAACACGTCAACACGTGAACACACAGACACGTGAACACACAGACACGTGAACACACAGACACGTACATACACAGACCCGTGAACACACAGACACGTGGACAAACAGACACGTGAAAACACAGACACGTAAACACACAGACACGTGGACAAACAGACACGTGAACACAGACACGTGGACAAACAGACACGTGGACACCCAAACACGTGGACAAACACACGCGAACACACAGACACGTGAACACACAGACACGTGAACACACAGACACGTGGACAAACAGACACGTGAACACACAGACACGTGAACACACAGACAGGTGGACACCCAAACACGTGAACAAACACACGCGAACAGACAAACACGTGAACACGCAGACACAGACACGCTAACACAAGGAACGCAAACACAGACACGCTAACACACAGACACGTGTACAGACAAAAAGCACGTGCTATGCCAATACATAAACACACACAGACACGTGACAAGCTCCAATTCACACACACACACACAGCCAACAGTGCAAGTGTGAATTAACCATCTGATTGGAGAGTGTGAGCAGAGATGAACATTCACGACTCTTATGCTTCCGTACTGCTGACGATGTAGCCGGTGTAGATGCAGAGCGACCGACCACAAAGTCACATCCAGGTGGGTCAAGCCAGACGGATAACCGCGTCAGGAGCAAGCGGGGTAGTAGTGAGTGTATCGTCATCATCGTCGTCGTCATCGTCGTCATCGTCGTCATCGTCGTCGTCATCGTCATCATCGTCGTCGTCGTCGTCATCGTCGTCATCGTCGTCGTCATCGTCGTCGTCATCGTCATCATCATCGTCGTCATCGTCGTCGTCATCGCCGTGAGGTCTACTTCGTTATCTGTGGATCGGGGCATTACGTCGTTACACGTCATACTACTAGGGTAGTGGTAGGGGTAGTGATAGGGGTAGTGGTAGGGGTAGTGATAGGGGTAGTGATAGGGGTAGTGATAGGGGTAGTGATAGGGGTAGTGATAGGGGTAGTGATAGGGGTAGTGATAGGGGTAGTGATAGGGGTAGGGGTAGTGGTAGTGATAGGGGTAGTGATAGGGGTAGTGATAGGGGTAGGGGTAGTGGTAGGGGTAGGGTAGTGATAGGGGTAGTGATAGGGGTAGTGATAGGGGTAGTGATAGGGGTAGTGATAGGGGTAGTGATAGGGGTAGTGATAGGGGTAGTGATAGCGGTAGTGATAGGGGTAGTGATAGGGGTAGTGATAGGGGTAGCGATAGGGGGTAGCGATAGGGGGTAGCGATAGGGGTAGCGATAGGGGTAGCGATAGGGGTAGCGATAGGGGTAGCAATAGGGGTAGTGATAGGGGGTAGTGATAGGGGTAGTGGTTAGGGGTAGTGATAGGGGTAGTGATAGGGGTAGTGATAGGGGTAGTGATAGGGGTAGTGATAGGGGTTGGGGTAGTAGTAGGGGTAGTAGTAGGGGTAGTGATAGGGGTAGTGATAGGGGTAGTGATAGGGGTAGTGATAGCGGTAGTGATAGGGGTAGGGGTAGTGATAGGGGTAGTGATAGGGGTTGGGGTAGTGATAGGGGTAGTGATAGGGGTAGAGATAGGGGGTAGTGGTAGTCTCTTTCTTACGGCTGCTGATGTAGATGTAAAGTAACAAGTACAAAGTCACATTCAGGTGGGTCAAGCCAGATAACCGTGTCAGGAGCAAGCGGAGTAGTAGTGAGTGTATCATCATCATCGTCATCATCATCATCATCGTCGTCGTCATCGTCGTCGCTGTGATGTCTCCCCGTGGAGTTGGCAGCATTGCGACGTTGAACGTGGCGCTGGGGTCTCTGTCCTGGATGACGGCACTCGCCACATTGCTACTGCAGAGAGGTTTCATTTTTTTAAAATTAATTTTCCACGTGTGCATTTGTGAATGAACGAGCGACTGAATGAGTGCTCGTGCAAGTGAATGAGTGGCTGAATGAGTGGCTGAATGAGTGCTCGGGCAAGCGAATTACTAAATTAATGATTGATTGAACTAGCGACCGGGTCAGAGAGCGTGTGCGGGGAGGAGTATCCGATTATTACGCGAGTGAATGAGTGAGTGAATGAGTGAGTGAATGACTGAATGAATGAGTGACTGAATGAGTGAGCGAGCGACCTGGTCGGATAGCATGTGCGGGGGGATGAGTATTCAGTTAACATGCGAATGAGTGAATGACTCAATGAATGAGTGACTGAGTGAATGAGTGAGTGAATGACTCAATGAATGAGTGAATGAGTGACTGAATGAGTGAGCAAGCGACCTTTCAGTTTCAGTTTGATTTATTTTGGTATAGCCCTGTGAGCCATTCGGCTCTTGAATCGGGTGCAACCACAACAAACAAAAAAAAAACTAAAACACGAACAATTAAAACATCTTAAAGTGACTGTGTGACTGTGCAAACAGAAAATCCAGGAAAAAAGAAAACAGCAAAATATTCCTGAAAAAAGCACCGTACACCAACGCTGTGTGCAAAAAATCCCAGTGGGATGCAGTCAAACAACAACAACAACCACAAGACAACTTAGATTAAGGCCATCAGTCTAACTCCGTACTACAACAAAATTAGTACCTGGTCGGACAGCGTGAGCGGGGGGGGGATGAGTATTCAGTGAACATGCGAGTGAGTGAATGACTCAATGAATGAGTGAATGAGTGACTGAATGACTCAATGAATGAGCGAATGAGTGACTGAATGAGTGAGCGAGCGGACCTGGTCGGACAGCGTGAGCGGGGAGGAGTATCCAATGGGGCAGCCGTAGCAGAGGCAAGAGAGTTCCGCGCTCAGCTCCAGGACATGTGCCAGCGGCAGGTATCCGATGTAGATGTCGTCCGGCCTGGTCCCGCACAAGGAGCCCACGACCACCGTCGTCGGTGGGGGGGGGAGCAAATCCGATGAGCCACAAAGCTCTTTTCCACAGATGTCCAGTAGGTTTCACACGTCCGGTAGCGTTCTCACGCTCTCGCCTACACACTCACTCACTCACCCATACTGTCACTCACTCACCCATACACCCTCTCACTCACTCACCTACACACTCACCCATACACTCTCTCTCACACTCACTCACCTACACACTCACCCATACTGTCACTCACTCACCCATACACACTCTCTCACTCACTCACTCACCTACACACTCACTCACCTAAACACTCTGTCACTCACCAATACTCTCTCTCACTCGCTCTCACTCACTCACCTACACACTCACTCACCTACACATTCTCTCTCTCTCATACTCTCTCTCACTCGCTCTCACTCACTCACTTGCTCACTCTCTCACTCACCTACACACTCACTCACTCATCTACACACTCACTCATCTACACACTAACTCACCCATACTCTCTCTCACTCTCTTACCTACACACTCACCCATACTGGCACTCACTCACACTCCCTCACTTACACACACTCACTCACTTGCTCACTTTCACTCACCTACACAACAACAACAACCGCCATTCGCGACTAAGTGGCGGTGACGTCACCACGACGCTTGTGCCAGGACATGTGCACCTTGAGGCCACGTGGAGTGTCGAACGCCCGCTGGCAGGAGGTCACGGGGCAGACCCAGGTGCCACGGGTCGACTGACTGAGATGACTGGCTGATGCACCACCTGTGCCCCCTACTGTGCCAACCTGCTGTGCTTTAGCCACCCGGCGCTCTGCTCGTTGTTGTGAGCGTCGCTCCTCCACCCTCCGTTGTTGTTGGAGGGCGACTATCTCTTCTGCCCAGTAGCGTCCTTCACGAGCCTCCTCCACAGAGGCCGATCTTGACACCGCTGGTACCAGTCATCGGCAAGTCCACTCAGCTCCACGTCCTCCTGTACCACATCACTCCATCTCTTCTCTAGCCCGTGCCACGCCCGTTTAGCCCCCTCGATCCGGCCGAACAAAAGCTGTATCGGCATGCGGTGGCTGGGCATGCGGGCTACATGACCCAGCCATCGCAGCCTTGCCCGCCGGAGGAGCTCACCGATGGGACCTTGCCCAGATCTTCCAAGGATTTTTGAGCTCCTCACACAATCCAGTCTGGTTAAACCCAGGATGGATCGTAGGCAGGCCAGCCTAAATGTTTCTAACCGGCGAAGATGTTCCATTAGGGGGGTCCACGTTTCGCAAGCGTAGAGAAGGGAGGGAATGACCGTGGCCGAGAAGACCTGAAGCTTAGTGCGGAGCGACAGACCAGGTAGCTTCCACACAGTGTTACGCAACCGATGAAAAGATATTGCCGCTCGACTGATTCGGAGTGAACCCTCTGCTGTTAAACTGGAGCCGGTCATAAGCACACTTCCCAGGTATGGGAAACGCTCCACTCTCTCCACAACTGCCCCATCACCGATTGGGAGTTGTGGGGGTGGAGTGTCCGATGGTACAAAATACCCAGGCAGGTGCTTAGTTTTGGTGGGGCTGATGGTAAGACCCCATCTCTTAGTGGCACGCTCCAGTCTCAGCAGCAGCATCTCCAACTCCTCCTCTGAATGAGCAGCTATTACCAAATCATCAGCATACATAACGTGGTTGAGCAATAGGGAGCCATCCCTTGACCGCACCCGGGCATCGATCAGCCTCCCATTATATCTGTACCATATGGAGATTCCCCCAGTAAAGCTATTGAAGGCTTCACGAACTACGTGGTCGAAATAGATGTTGAATAATGTGGGAGCCAGAGGACATCCCTGTCGTACCCCAAGGTGTACAGGGAAAGGCTCGGACTCCCGGCCACGTAGTTTTATCCGGGCCCACTCACCATCATGAAGGTCCTTAATGATCGTGAGCAGAGGGTCAGGTACTCCAAAAGCACGAAGAACAACCCAGAGCCCAGGCCTATTGATGATATCATAGGCCTTGACCAGGTCAATAAAGCAGAGATGTAGGTCTTGCTGGAATTCCCTACACCTCTGCTGTAGCAGACGGACAGAAAATATGGCATCTGTGCAGGACCGCCCTTTCCTGAAACCGCATTGGGGCTCCGCAAGCCTCTCCTCAGCGTGCCTGGCAAGGCGATGTTGAATAATCCTTGCCAGGACCTTTCCCGGCACACTGAGGAGTGAGATCCCCCTGTAGTTGTTACAGTCTGTGCGGTCCCCCTTCTTAAAGAGGGGGACCACCAGGGCATCTTTCCAATCCTGCGGAACCCATCCAGTGGTCCAGACTGTTGTTATGATGTCATATAGGGCAGTCTGTGCACAAACTCCACCCTCCCTCAGCATTTCGCTTGGGAGATCATCTCTGCCCGCTGCCTTTCCTGGTCTCAGACTCCGGATCGCCCTCAGTACTTCCTCAACAGATGGCACTTCAGCCAGCCACTCACAGGGGGTGACTTCTTCCAATAATTGAGGCACCGCAGCATCAGCAGGGTCATCCTCACTTTGTGCCACGATGTTTTCCTGGCTGAGGGATTTTCCCTCCCCCAGGACCTCACAGAAATGCTCGGCGCTGCAGGTTACTTTTTGATGGAGTTAAATAGAGATTTGTGATCGCGGGCCACTGAGGCAGACTCCATCTCCTCAGCAACCCGTGACCACCATCCATCATTGCAGCGCCTCACGGCTCTCCGAACCTCCGAGCGAAGGTTGCGGTAAGCCTCCTCATTCTCTGAAGTGGGATTCTGTAGCCGATGACACTCACTCACCTACACACACTCACCCATAATCTCTCTTACTCGCTCACTCACTCACCTACACATACTCTCACTCACTCACCTACACAGTCACTCTGTGTGAGACACCCATTCTCTCACTCACTCACTTACACACACACACTCACTCAGCTACACACTCACTCTGTCACTCACCCATACTCTCTCTCACTCACTCACCCACTTACACACACTCACCCACTTACACACAGACACACTCACTCACCTACACACTCACTCTGTCACTCACCCACACACCCACTCACTCTGTGACTCACCCACACTCTCTCTCACTCACCCACACTCTCTCTCACTCACCCACACTCTATCTCATTCTCTCACTCACTTACTTGCTCACTCTTACACTCACTCACTCACCTACACACAAACTCACCCATACTCTCTCACTCACTCACCTACACGCTCACTCACTCACCCACTTACACACACACACACTCACCCACTTACACACACGCACACTCACTCACCCACTTACACACACGCACACTCACTCACCCACTTACAACAACAACAACAACCGCCATTCGCCACTAAGTGGCGGTGATGTCACCACGACGCTTGTGCCAGGCTATGTGCACCCTGAGGCCACGTGAAGTGTCGAACGCCCGCTGGCAGGTGGTCACGGGGCAGACCCAGGTGCCACGGGTCGACTGACTGAGATGACTGGCTGATGCACCACCTGTGCCCCCTACTGTGCCAACCTGCTGTGCTTTAGCCACCCGGCGCTCCGCTCGCTGTTGTGAGCGTCGCTCCTCCGCCCTCCGTTGTTGTTGGAGGGCGACTGCCTCCAACTGCCCAGTAGCATCCTTCACGAGCCTCCTCCACAGAGGCCGATCTTGACACCGCTGGTACCAGTCATCGGCAAGTCCACTCAGCTCCACGTCCTCCTGTACCACATCACTCCATCTCTTCTCTAGCCCGTGCCGCGCCCGCTTAGCCCCCTCAATCCGGCCAAACAAAAGCTGTTTCGGCATGCGGTGGCTGGGCATGCGGGCTACATGACCCAGCCATCGCAGCCTTGCCTCCCGGAGGAGCTCACCGATGGGACCCTGCCCAGATCTTTCAAGGATTTGTGAGCTCCTCACACAATCCAGTCTGGTTAAACCCAGGATGGATCGTAGGCAGGCCAGCCTAAATGTTTCTAACCGGCGAAGATGTTCCATTAGGGGGGTCCACGTTTCGCAAGCGTAGAGAAGGGAGGGAATGACCGTGGCCGAGAAGACCTGAAGCTTAGTGCGGAGCGACAGACCAGGTAGCTTCCACACAGCGTTACGCAACCGATGAAAAGATATTGCCGCTCGACTGATTCGGAGTGAGACCTCTGCTGTTAAACTGGAGCCAGTCATAAGCACACTGCCCAGGTATGGGAAACTCTCCACTCTCTCCACAACTGCCCCATCACCGATTGGGAGTTGTGGGGGTGGAGTGTCCGATGGTACAAAATACCCAGGCAGGTGCTTAGTTTTGGTGGGGCTGATGGTAAGGCCCCACCTCTTAGTGGCACGCTCCAGTCTCAGCAGCAGCGTCTCCAACTCCTCCTCTGACTGAGCAGCTATTACCAAGTCATCAGCATACATAACGTGGTTGAGCAATAGGGAGCCATCCCTTGACCGCACCCGGGCATCGATTAGCCTCCCATTATATCTGTACCATATGGAGATTCCCCCGGTACAGCTAATGAAGGCTTCACGAACTACGTGGTCAAAATAGATGTTAAATAATGTGGGAGCCAGAGGACATCCCTGTCGCACCCCAAGGTGTACAGGGAATGGCTCTGACTCCCGGCCACGTAGTTTTACCCGGGCCCGCTCACCATCATGAAGGTCCTTAATGATCGTGAGCAGAGGGTCAGGTACTCCAAAAGCACGAAGAACGACCCAGAGCCCAGGCCTACTGATGGTATCATAGGCCTTGACCAGGTCAATAAAGCAGAGATGTAGGTCTTGTTGGAATTCCCTACACCTCTGCTGTAGCAGACGGACAGAAAATATGGCATCTGTGCAGGACCGCCCTTTCCTGAAACCGCATTGGGGCTCCGCAAGCCTCTCCTCAGCGTGCCTGGCAAGGCGATGCTGAATAATCCTTGCCAGGACCTTTCCCGGCACACTGAGGAGTGAGATGCCCCTGTAGTTGTTACAGTCTGTGCGGTCCCCCTTCTTAAAAAGGGGGACCACCAGGGCATCCTTCCAATCCTGCGGAACCCGTCCAGTGGTCCAGACTGTTGTTATGATGTCATATAGGGCAGTCTGTGCACAAACGCCACCCTCCCTCAGCATTTCGCTTGGGAGATCATCTCTGCCCGCTGCCTTTCCTGGTCTCAGACTCCGGATCGCCTTCAATACTTCCTCAGCAGATGGCACCTCAGCCAGCCACTCACAGGGGGTGACTTCATCCAATATTTGAGGCACCGCAGCCTCAGCAGGGTCATCCTCACTTTGTGCCACGGTGTTTTCCTGGCTGAGGGATTTTCCCTCCCCCAGGACCTCACAGAAATGCTCAGCAAATCTGCGAACCTGTTCCTGGGGGTCGGAAATTGGATCACCGTTTTTTCCCCTAATGATGGTAATAGGTGTGGCGCTGCAGGTTACTTTTTTGATGGAGTTAAATAGAGATTTGTGATCACGGGCCACTGAGGCAGACTCCATCTCCTCAGCAACCCGCGACCACCACCCATCCTTGCAGCGCCTCACGGCTCTCCGAACCTCCGAGCGAAGGCTGCGGTAAGCCTCCTCATTCTCTGACGTGGGATTCTGTAGCCGATGACAGTGGGCCTGTCGCTTTTTCTCAACCATCCTGAACAACTCCTCTGTCATCCACACACACACTCACCTACACACTCACTCTGTCACTCACCCACACACACACACACTCACCTACACTCACTCTGTCACTCACCCACACTCTCTCTCACTCACCCACACTCTCTCTCACTCTCTCACTCACTTACTTGCTCACTCACTCACTCACCTACACACTCTCTCTCACTCACCTACACACTCACTCTGTCACCCACACTCTCGCTCAAACACCCACACTCTCTCTCACTCTCTCACTCACTTACTTGCTCTCTCTCACACTCACTCACCTACACACACACTCACCTACACACACACTCACTCTGTCACTCACCCACACTCTCTCTCACTCACCTACACACTCTCTCTCACTCACCCACACTCTCTCTCACTCACCTACACACTCACTCTGTTACTCACCCACACTCTCTCTCACTCTCTCACTCACTTACTTGCTCTCTCTCACACTCACTCACCTACACACTCACTCACCTACACACACACTCACCCACTCACCTACACACATACTCACCTACACACACACTCTGTCACACCCACACTCTCTCTCACTCACCCACACTCTCTCTCACTCACCTACACACACACTCACCCACACACTCACTCTGTCACTCACCCACACTTTCTATCACTCTCTCACTCACTCACCCACACACTCACTCTCTCACTCACCTACACACTCACTCTGTCACTCACCCACACTCTCACCAGACCCCCACTCACCCCAGGTCGGGGATCTTCTCGCACTGCCCGGACATGCCAGCGATGAGGTTGGCGTGTGACATCATCACTCCCTTGGGCATCCCCGTGGAGCCGCTCGTGTACATCACCACGGCGAGGTCAGAGGGCATGGGCGGGCACCGTCGCTCCGCCACTGCCAACAACATCAGCAGCAACATCATCAGCAGCAGCAGCAACATCATCAGCAGGAGCAACATCATCAGCAGCAGCAACATCATCAGCAGGAGTAACATCATCATGGTCGTGGTCATGGTGGTGGTGGTTGTGGTTGTCGCGGCAGTGGTGGTGGTCATGGTAGTGGTGGTTGCGGTCGTGGTAGCGGTCGTGGTGGTTGTGGTCGTGGTGGTGGTAGTGGTCGTGGTGGTGGTGGTTGCGGCGGTGGTTGTGGTCGTGGTTGTGGTCGTGGTTATGGTCGTGGTGGTGGTGGTCGTGGTGGTTGTGGTGGTCGTGGTGGTTGTGGTGGTTGTGGTGGCTGTGGTCGTGGTCGCGGTCGTGGTGGTGGTAGCGGTCGTGGTGGTTGTGGTTGTGGTCGTGGTGGTGGTAGTGGTCATGGTGGTTGTGGTGGTTGTGGTGGCTGTGGTCGTGGTCGTGGTCGCGGTCGTGGTGGTGGTAGCGGTCGTGGTGGTGGTGGTCGTGGTGGTTGTGGTCGTGGTGGTTGTGGTGGTTGTGGTCGTGGTGGTAGCGGTGGTGGTCGTGGTGGTTGTGGTCGTGGTGGTAGCGGTGGTGGTAGCGGTCGTGGTGGTTGTGGTCGTGGTGGTGGTGGTGGTGGTAGTGGTCGTGGTGGTTGTGGTGGTTGTGGTCGTGGTGGTTGTGGTCGTGGTGGTAGCGGTGGTGGAAGCGGTCGTGGTGGTTGTGGTCATGGTGGTTGTGGTGGTTGTGGTGGTTGTGGTCGTGGTGGTTGTGGTCGTGGTGGTAGCGGTGGTGGTAGCGGTCGTGGTGGTTGTGGTCATGGTGGTCGTGGTGGTTGTGGTGGTTGTGGTAGCGGTGGTGGTGGTGGTGGTGGTTGTGGTGGTTGTGGTAGCGGTGGTGGTAGCGGTGGTGGTTGTGGTCGTGGTGGTGGTGGTGGTTGTGGTCGTGGTGGTGGTTGTGGTCGTGGTGGTGGTGGTGGTTGTGGTCGTGGTCGTGGTGGTGGTGGTGGTTGTGGTCGTGGTCGTGGTGGTGGTGGTGGTTGTGGTAGCGGTGGTGGTAGCGGTGGTGGTAGCGGTGGTGGTGGTGGTGGTGGTGGTTGTGGTGGTGGTGGTTGTGGTCGTGGTGGTTGTGGTTGTGGTCGTGGTGGTTGTGGTTGTGGTGGTGGTGGTTGTGGTGGTGGTGGTGCTGGTGCTAGCGGTGGCCCAGTCGTTCACGGCACTCACTCCGTGGGTTCTGCTCCCCCAGCTGCTCCACGTGCTCCAGGCTGAGCAGCGACACCCCAGGGGGTGGGGTGGGGTCCCAGGCCCCGGGCGACGACGGGGGGGCCCCCCCCGCCCCTCCCCTCCGCGCGGGGGGGCGGGCGTCCACGTGGACGATGTGGGTGACACGTGGCATGCGGGACAGCACCCCCTGGGGACACACACGGCGGGGGAGGGGGAGATACGTGGGGGTTAGGGGAGATACGTGGGGGTTAGGGGAGATACGTGGGGGTTAGGGGAGATACGTGGGGGTTAGGGGAGATACGTGGGGGTTAGGGGAGATACGTGGGGGTTAGGGGAGATACGTGGGGGTTAGGGGAGATACGTGGGGGTTAGGGGAGATACGTGGGGGAGATACGTGGGGGTTAGGGGAGATACGTGGGGGTTAGGGGAGATACGTGGGGGTTAGAGGAGACATTGGGGGGAGATACGTGGGGGTTAGGGGAGATACGTGGGGGTTAGGGGAGATATGTGGGGGTTAGGGGAGATACGTGGGGTTAGGGGAGATACGTGGGGGTTAGGGGAGACATTGGGGGGAGATACGTGGGGGTTAGGGGAGATACGTGGGGGTTAGGGGAGATACGTGGGGGAGATACGTGGGGGTTAGGGGAGATACGTGGGGGTTAGGGGAGATACGTGGGGGTTAGGGGAGATACGTGGGGGTTAGGGGAGATACGTGGGGGTTAGGGGAGATACGTGGGGGTTAGGGGAGATACGTGGGGGTTAGGGGAGATACGTGGGGGTTAGGGGAGATACGTGGGGGTTAGGGGAGATACGTGGGGGTTAGGGGAGATACGTGGGGGTTAGGGGAGATACGTGGGGGAGATACGTGGGGGTTAGGGGAGATACGTGGGGGTTAGGGGAGATACGTGGGGGTTAGAGGAGACATTGGGGGGAGATACGTGGGGGTTAGGGGAGATACGTGGGGGTTAGGGGAGATATGTGGGGGTTAGGGGAGATACGTGGGGTTAGGGGAGATACGTGGGGGTTAGGGGAGACATTGGGGGGAGATACGTGGGGGTTAGGGGAGATACGTGGGGGTTAGGGGAGATACGTGGGGGAGATACGTGGGGGTTAGGGGAGATACGTGGGGGTTAGGGGAGATATGTGGGGGTTAGGGGAGATACGTGGGGGTTAGGGGAGATATGTGGGGGTTAGGGGAGATACGAGGGAGTTAGGGGAGATACGTGGGGGTTAGGGGAGATACGTGGGGGTTAGGGGAGATACGTGGGGGTTAGGGGAGATACGTGGGGGAGATACGTGGGGGTTAGGGGAGATACGTGGGGGTTAGGGGAGACATTGGGGGGAGATACGTGGGGGTTAGGGGAGATACGTGGGGGTTAGGGGAGATACGTGGGGGAGATACGTGGGGGTTAGGGGAGATACGTGGGGGTTAGGGGAGATATGTGGGGGTTAGGGGAGATACGTGGGGGTTAGGGGAGATAAGTGGGGGTTAGGGGAGATACGAGGGAGTTAGGGGAGATACGTGGGGGTTAGGGGAGATACGTGGGGGTTAGGGGAGATACGTGGGGGTTAGGGGAGATACGTGGGGGAGATACGTGGGGGTTAGGGGAGATACGTGGGGGTTAGGGGAGACATTGGGGGGAGATACGTGGGGGTTAGGGGAGATACGTGGGGGTTAGGGGAGATACGTGGGGGAGATACGTGGGGGTTAGGGGAGATACGTGGGGGTTAGGGGAGATATGTGGGGGTTAGGGGAGATACGTGGGGGTTAGGGGAGATATGGGGGGGTTAGGGGAGATACGAGGGAGTTAGGGGAGATACGTGGGGGTTAGGGGAGATACGTGGGGGTTAGGGGAGATACGTGGGGGTTAGGGGAGATACGTGGGGGAGATACGTGGGGGTTAGGGGAGATACGTGGGGGTTAGGGGAGATACGTGGGGGTTAGGGGAGATATGTGGGGGTTAGGGGAGATACGAGGGGGTTAGGGGAGATACGAGGGGGTTAGGGGAGATACGTGGGGGTTAGGGGAGATACGTGGGGGTTAGGGGAGATACGTGGGGGTTAGGGGAGATACGAGGGGGTTAGGGGAGATACGTGGGGGTTAGGGGAGATACGAGGGGGTTAGGGGAGATACGTGGGGGTTAGGGGAGATACGTGGGGGTTAGGGGAGATACGTGGGGGTTAGGGGAGATACGTGGGGGTTAGGGGAGATACGTGGGGGTTAGGGGAGACATTGGGGGGAGATACGTGGGGGTTAGGGGAGATACGAGGGGGTTAGGGGAGATACGTGGGGGTTAGGGGTGATACGTGGGGGTTAGGGGAGATACGTGGGGGTTAGGGGAGATACGAGGGGGTTAGGGGAGATGTGTGGGGGTTAGGGGAGACGTTGGGGGGGGAGATACGCGTGGGAGATACGCAGGGAGCCACAGAGCCACAGGACGTTGATGAAGTGGAGGATGTGGAGGAGGCCTGGACTCGCGACACTTCACATCAAACTGGCAATGTCACTCACCGTCTTCTGTTCAACAGCGTATCCCTCAAAAACCCCTCTTAACCATCCTCCCCCCTTCCATATCATCACCCTCACGTACCATCCCCTTCCTCTCTCCTCACCTCACTCCTCTCCCTATCATCACCACCCTCCCTGGCCATCCTCCACCATCATCCCTTCTGCCCATCAGCCAATAATTAGCAGACCATTCACAGTTCTTGTCAAGCGCTTTGGCACAAAAGCGCCGTGTGTAAAATCCGAGATAAGATAAGGATATTGAAGAGGTCTAAAGAAGTGGAAGACACTGAGGAAGAGTGGGAGTGGGAGGAGGAGTGGGAGGAGTGGAAGGACGAGGAGGAGGTGGAGGAGTGGGAGGAGTGGAAGGAGTAGTGGGAGGAGGAGTGGGAGGAGTAGGAGGAGTGGAAGGAGGAGTGGGAGGAGTGGAAGGAGGAGGAGTGGAAGGAGGAGTGGGAGGAGGAGGAGTGGAAGGAAGAGGAGTGAGAGGAGGAGGAGTAGAAGGAGGAGTGGGAGGAGTGGAAGGAGGAGGAGGTGGAGGAGTGGGAGGAGGAGGAGGTGGAGGAGTAGAAGGAGTGCAAGGAGGAGTGGGAGGAGGAGTGGGAGGAGGAGTGGTAGGAGGAGGAGTGGGAGGAGGAGTGGTAGGAGGAGTGGGAGGAGGAGTGGGAGGAGGAGTGGTAGGAGGAGGAAGAGGAGTGGAAGGAGTGGGAGGAGTGGTAGGAGGAGTGGTAGGAGGAGGAGTGGTAGGAGGAGTGGAAGGAGGAGGAGTGGAAGGAGGAGGAGTGGAAGGAGGAGTGGAAGGAGGAGTGGGAGGAGTGGAAGGAGGAGGAGTGGAAGGAGGAGTGGAAGGAGGAGTGGGAGGAGTGGGAGGAGGAGTGGAAGGAGGAGTGGAAGGAGGAGTGGAAGGAGGAGTGGAAGGAGTAGGAGGAGTGGAAGGAGGAGTGGAAGGAGGAGTGGAAGGAGTGGAAGGAGTGGTAGAAGGAGTGGTAGGAGGAGTGGTAGGAGGAGTGGTAGGAGGAGTGGAAGGAGTGGAAGGAGGAGTGGTAGGAAGAGTGGAAGGAGTGGAAGGAGTGGTAGGAGGAGTGGTAGGAGGAGTGGAAGGAGTGGTGGTAGGAGGAGTGGAAGGAGTAGGAGGAGTGGAAGGAGTAGGAGGAGTGGAAGGAGCAGTGGAAGGAGGAGTGGAAGGAGTGGTAGGAGGAGTGGAAGGAGTGGTAGTTGGAGTGGAAGGAGTGCTAGGAGGAGTGGTAGGAGTGGAAGGAGGAGTGGAAGGAGTGGGAGGAGTGGAAGGAGGAGTGGAAGGAGGACTGGAAGGAGGAGTGGAAGGAGTGGTAGGAGGAGTGGTAGGAGGAGTGGGAGGAGGAGTGGGAGGAGGAGTGGGAGGAGGAAGAGTGGGAGGAGGAGTGGAAGGAGTGAGAGGAGTGGTAGGAGGAGTGGAAGGAGGAGTGGAAGGAGGAGTGGTAGGAGGAGGAAGAGGAGTGGAAGGAGTGGAAGGAGGAGTGGAAGGAGTGGTAGGAGGAGTGGAAGGAGTGGTAGGAGGAGTGGTAGGAGTGGAAGGAGGAGTGGAAGGAGTGGGAGGAGTGGAAGGAGGAGTGGAAGGAGTGGAAGGAGTGGAAGGAAGAGTGGGAGGAGGAGTGGGAGGAGGAGTGGAAGGAGTGGGAGGAGTGGGAGGAGGAGTGGTAGGAGGAGGAGTGGAAGGATGAGCTCCTCACCTTGAGAGTTTTCCCCAGCAGCTCACAGCTGGTGATCACCATGGTGACCTCCGACTCGTTGAGACCGTGAACCACGGCGTCCGTGCCCAGCGTGGAGTAGAGCGTCACAACTGGAGGAGACACCCCGCGTCACACCCCGCGTCACACCCCACACATCTCACACCCCGCGTCACACCCCGCGTCACACCCCACGTCACACCCCACACGTCTCACACCCCGCGTCACACCCCGCGTCACACCCCACACGTCACACCCCACGTCACACCCCACACGTCTCACACCCCGCGTCACACCCCGCGTCACACCCCACACATCACACCCCGTGTCACACCCCACACGTCTCACACCTCACACCCCACACGTCACACCCCGCGTCACACCCCACACGTCTCACACCCCGCGTCACACCCCACACGTCTCACACCCCGCGTCACAGCCCACGTTACACCCCACACGTCTCACACCGCGTCACACCCCACACGTCACACCCACGTCACACCCCCACACGTCACACCCCGCGTCACACCCCACACGTCTCACACCCCTCACGTCAACACACCACACGTCACACACCCCACGCGTCTCACACCCCTCACACCCCACACGTCTCACCCCACACACACCCCACCCCTCACACCCCACACGTCACACACACCACACGTCTCACACCCCACACGTCTCACACCCCACCTCACACCCCACACACCCCCCACACCCCACGTGCGGTGTGCACGCCGCCGGTTGCTATGCCGCGGCTTGCACACCGGGGAAGTTGTACTTGAAGCAGGCCTGTGCGACGAGCATCCACTCGGCCCGCGTCTCGCAGAAGAGCGCCACGGGGCGCCGGGCCTCGTGGCCCAGCGCCACCAGGCCCCGGCCAAAGTTCTCGGCACGCGTGTCCAGCTCACGGAACGACATCCAGCGGTAGTCACCCAGAATCACCTGGGGGGGGGGGGGGGGGACACCAACGTCACCACCGTCACCACGATCGCTACAGTCACCACAGTCATCACCGTCACCACCGTCACCAACGTCACCAACGTCACCACCGTCACCACGGTCACTACAGACACCAACGTCACCACCGTCACCACGATCGCTACAGTCACCACAGTCATCACCGTCACCACCGTCACCAACGTCACCACCGTCACCCCCGTCGCTACAGTCACCACGATCTCTACAGTCACCACCGTCACCACCGTCACCACCGTCACCACGGTTGCTACAGTCATCACCGTCACCACCGTCACCACCGTCACAACGGTCACCACGGTTGCAACAGTCACCACCGTCACCACCGTTACCACGGTCGCTACAGTCACCACCGTCACCACAGTCACCATGGTTGCAACAGTCACCACCGTCACCACGGTCGCCACCGTCGCCACCGTCACCATGGTTGCAACAGTCGACACCGTCGCCACCATCGCCATGGTTGCCATGGTCACCACCGTTGCCACAGTCACCACCGTCACCACGATTTCCACGATCACCACCATCACCACCATCACCACGATTTCCACGATCACCACCGTCGCCACCACCACCTCATTCACCAACACCATCATCACCACCAATCGCTCTCAGAGACACAGAGGGAGGCGAGGACGATCCGTAGACGCGGGGAAATCACAGCGACAAGCGAGAAGGAAGCAGCCAGAGCCCAATAATTGCCCAAGCTCTGGCGTCCTCTCTCCGCTCCCTTCCGTGGGCGTCAACGAGGAGCCACAACCCTCGCTCAAAGCCGTTCACATCCGCAAGGGGATAGAGCGTTGCCCCCTTGCACACGGGGGGGTCTCTTCTCTCTGGGCGCTCCGGTTTCCTCCCGCCGGTGCAAAAACTCTCATCGCCGGCCGCCTCAAAACACCTTCATGCCCAGAGCATCTTAGTCGCCCGGCGCTCCGCCCATTGTTACGAGCGTCGCTGCTCTGCCTCCGACTGCCCAGCAGCGTCCTTCACGAGCCTCCACCACAGAGGCCGATCTTGACACCGCTGGTACCAGTCGTCGGCAAGTCCACTCAGCTCCACGTCCTCCCGTACCGCATCAGCTCCACCTCTTTTCATGGCCGTTTAGCCCCCTCTATGCGGCCAAACAGAAGTTGCTTGGGGGCACGCGGTGGCTGGGCATGCGGGCTACATGACCCAGCCAGCGCAGCCTCGCCTGCCAGAGGAGCTCACCGATGGGACCTTGCCCAGATCTTTACAAGATTTGTGAGCTCCTCACACAATCCAGCCTGGTTAAACCCAGGATGGATCGTGGGCAGGCCAGCCTAAATGTTTCTATCCGGCGAAGATGTTCCATTAGAGGGCTCCACGTTTCGCAAGCGTAGAGAAGGGAAGGAATGACCGTGGCCGAGAAGACCTGAAGCTTAGTGCGGAGCGACAGACCAGGTAGCTTCCACACAGCGTTACGCAACCGATGAAAAGATAATGCCGCTCGACTGATTCGGAGCGAGACCTCTGCTGTTAAACTGGAGCCAGTCATAAGCACACTGCCCAGGCATAGGAAACTCTCCACTCTCTCCACAACTGCTCCATCACCACCAAAACAAAGAGACAAAGGTCCCCCGTATAGCCTCAGCAGACTGTTGGGGCAAGTGCCGTTAGCGATCACATATGAAGGCCGACACGGCACACGAAGGGGTTGGTTGCCAACACCACGCCCGGCCGCCTTTGTCTCCCCAATGGCGATGTTTATGCATCGCACCAGGTACTCATTTGAGGCCGAGTCGACCTGGGAGAGGCCCGGGACCGGTCCAGATATTCGTCACTGGTGTTGGCCGTGAGCAGAAATCGAACCCGGGTCACCAGGTTCATAGCGCAGCGTGGCGCTAACCAACAACACCAAAGATCCCCCGTATAGCCTGAACAGACTGTAGGGGCAAGTGCTGTTAGCGAGCACACACACGCACACACACACACGTGCACACACACACGTGCACACACACGTGCACACACACACACGCACACACACGCAACAACAACAACCGCCATTCGCCACTAAGTGGCGGTGACGTCACCACGACGCTTGTGCCAGGCTATGTGCACCCTGAGGCCACGTGAAGTGTCGAACGCCCGCTGGCAGGAGGTCACGGGGCAGACCCAGGTGCCACGGGTCGACTGACTGAGATGACTGGCTGATGCACCACCTGTGCCCCCTACTGTGCCAACCTGCTGTGCTTTAGCCACCCGGCGCTCCGCTCGTTGTTCTGAGCGTCGCTCCTCCGCCCTCCGTTGTTGTTGGAGGGCGACTACCTCCAACTGCCCAGTAGCGTCCTTCACGAGCCTCCTCCACAGAGGCCGATCTTGACACCGCTGGTACCAGTCACACACGCACACGCACACACGCACACACACACACACACGTGCACACACACGCACGCGCGCGCACCTTCTTGAAGACGCGTCCGTTGGGCTGCCGCTCGTCCTCCTCGCTGAGCACCTGGCGCGTGCCCAGGCAGTCGCGCTCAGCGTGACCCCTCACGCCGCGCAGGAAGAAGCGGTCCAGGGTGGCGGCGTCGTCGAAGCCGGCGCTCGACAGCCCGCCCTCGCGCCCGATGGCGCGCCACGGCCCCGCGGGGTCGCCGCTCGCCGCCGCGGCCTTCGTCCGCCGGGCCCTGGCCAGGCGCTCGCGGGCGCCCGTCAGCAGGTACCAGGGCAGGAAGGCGACGGCCGTGTAGACGGCCGTCAGCAGCTGGAAGGGCAGCAGGAAGGCCGACGGCACGCTGTACTGGAGCTTCATGGCTCGCGGCAGCGGCAGGGAGGGAGGGCGAGTAGGAGGAGGAGGCGGTGGAGGAGGATGAGGAGGAGGACGAGGAGGAGGAGGAGGTAGTGGCGGTGGAGGACGTCGGTTCCACTGGCGACAGTCGCGTGCTGATCCGATTTCGTTTGATTTGAGCAACAACAAAAAATAAATGTTATCGATTGAAAGGAGGAGGAGGAGGAGGT